GTTAGCCCCGGAATTTTTCATTCGCCCTCGCTACATCGTCGGTTTTATACATCTGAAAAAGTCGGACCATAAGTTGGCAGCAATGGAATATTTTCCAATCACTTGATGAACTGTCCGGGCTATAACAGATTGCCGCTTATCGCTAAGATGCCACTGTGGGTGAAATGTGCGATCAAGTGATGCACATCTCATTTGCAACACTTGAAGCTTTCTATTGTTTCCAGTTCTTGGTCTTGCTCGGACTGTCCTTGCACTGAGGGAGTACACGAAGGTCGTTACATTTGCTTCTTTTTCAATGTCTCCTGGCCGTTGTTTTTCGTTTGCCATCGCTGGCGGATGTAAGCGTGTAATAGGGGAATGTAATTTAAATTTCTTGACATCACGCCATGTAGCTCGCAGGCCAATGTGAGTGGTCATCCATGTCCGTGTCGACTCAGTCGTAAATCGTGAAATGAAAGATAGATTGGAATTGCAATAATAACCGGGCGTTTATTAAATATAAATTAATTTCTAGACACAATACCCAGTGGCGCAATAAATCAAATGACCCCGAATTGGGTTGGCCCTTTTGAGGCTCATTCATTTTCTTGTCCTGTTTTGTGGTTTACATTTTTTTCATTCATTGCTTTTCAACGTTCCAAATTTACAATGCCCCGAGGCAATCGTACGCACTCGAACACACACAAACGGGCAGATAACTGAGTGTGTGGGTGTGTGTATGTGCGTGTTTTGTGCAAAAGAAACAGTCGACCACCACAAAAGTGTCTAATAAAGTTTGACTGAACTCCTCTATGACCGGGGATGACACGCAACGCCACATCTGGCCTTAAAACCCTTTTTACGATTCAACCTCTTGTCACTTATCGGAATTCACAGCACATGATGCGTGAATGCTTCAAGTGTGTCTCTTACGTTTTGAACAGGCGAGGGGAAGAGAGGGGGCGAGGAACACGAAATTAATTTATCGGAAGATATTTGTAAAGTGGTCTTTAAAACGTTAAATGCCCACCTATTGTGAATGTGAGAGTAAACCTACACACGAACGGCATGCAAACGTCCTTCTGGACGCTGATTCACCATTATTACGGAAAGGCCATAAGTCGCGCTAGGCCGAAGATTTGCACCGCTCTGTATTAACGAAGGGGCTTGGTGGAGTTTTGTGGGCTTACGGAAGCAATATCTAAAACTGGAACAATGTGAGTTTACCTTGGACTCAATACATAATTTTATGCATCGAATATATTTGATTCTCCCTCGATAGAAGTATCCGATTTAGTACAAACTTGGTACATCGGAATTGTTATCAAACTTAGGTCAGTGCATTGACATAATGGTACAAACCGTCATCTAAGAAGATCATCAATTGTGACCAGTCGTCTGCCTCGCCGCCCTTTGGATGTTGCAAGCTAGCTTCCAATGACACATACACAAACATATAAAATCCAGCAAAAAAAATCATTACAAATCGGCTTTCTAACCCATTACTTTAAGTTGTTATTTCTTGATCTCAAAGAAGTTCTTATTTTCGACTTTAGCCAAAAGATCAATACTCTTTTTATACCCTCAGCCATATGGCTACAGAGGGTAAATATCGGTTATATAGAGGGTATATAACGGTTTTGACACTGGGTCTCTTTGTACCAAATCCATTTCGGAACATTTGGAGTCGATCCAGCGATGTCCACCCGTCCGTCTGTCTATATGTCTGCTGTCTGGTGCGCACGATAACTCTCGGAGGGAGTATCCGATTGGTACATCCTAATATTACTATCAAACTTAGATCGAATTCGGAGATGGCCAATATCCTTCTGGTACAACCTCCACAAAATCCGATTTTGCTCAAACTTTGTAAATCCTAATATTTGCATCATTGCTAATTTAGGATAATATCGATGCACTCCATCAAGACCCTTTGAGGGGGGTCAACATTTTGAAAAATTATAACTCTCAGAAAATTTGATGTAAGAGTCCAATTTCCTTCAAATTACACTTATCACAAGGTCTGGTATGAAGATGGAATATGTCGGTCCACTCCTTCTGGTACCTACCACACAAAGAGTCAAAACTTTGAATATCCATGAAGCTTATAAATTCAGACTTGATACTTCTCTATATTTTCATCAACACAAGATCTGTTATAAAGATGGTAGGGATCGGACCCTACTAGTCTTCTTGTACCTCCGACACATAATGTTCAAGATTAAAAAAAAAATAACAAAACGCTCAAAGAAAGCGAAATACTTTTGTCTGTCATAACTTGGGAAACAAGTCAGCAATTCGTTGCAACTTGCCGTATCCAATTATTTCTCCCAACCATAAACCTGAGTTGAATATGCATAAAATTGAATATAAATGTTGAATTTTTTTTGTAATTTTGTCCATACCAATATTTTTGTCTGTATTAGATGAAGTATGAAAATGGAATACTTCGATCGACAATATTTATATAATATCTATTAAGGTCCGATACGAAATGTACAATATTGGCCCATTCCTTCGGAACGTACTCCATAGAGGGTCAACAATTTGAATGTTCATAACAGAAGTTAAAAAATATGCTTAAATAATCAAACATTGGCTGAGGGTATACAACTTTCGGCAAAACCGACTGATGCTTTTTAACTTGTTTTGATTCATTTGAGGCCAAGAAATAACTATACATTTCGCGTGACAGTCTCTTCCAAAAATGGATTGTAAAACGATTTTCTATCAGTTTTTTGCTGGGTTGTCTGGAGCATAAAAATAGTCGATATGGGGTAACAAAACGTCTGTGTGATGTTGGAAGATTCTCACGGTTCTTTAGATGCCCTTATGTTGTAAGCACACATCTCATAAAAAGATCTAAATTCACGTTCCACAACAAAATCTGCTATATCCCTCCAGGTGTTTAAAATGGGAATGCTAGAAGTATGATCAAGTTGGTCCGAGTGAAATATCGGAGTTTCCTGCTGAGACATCGAAAAAGTTCATCAAAGCACTCATTACAATGCTGAATAGCTGTCCTCTTCTTTTATTCTCAAATTAAATTGTTTTTAATGAAAATAATTAATGAATACTTTTTAATTTTTGAGTTTTGCTTTTGCCTTGTTAGGGCAAAGATAATTGGTGTGACCTTATTAAATTGGCCTTGATTAAAAATTTCTAATTTAAGTTTGACAAAACTTTGAAACAAAGAGACTTCCAGAAATACGAAAATGAAAGGGGGTCTATAAAAATGGAAATGGGCTTTACACACACACACACACACACACATATTGACATAACATTCTTAGCATCATATACATACATGTGTGTACATTAGGGTGAGTCTATTGAATATCAAAGTAGACAAATACTTTTTATCCGTTGTTGGGATTTCCGAAGCAAAATATAGCTCCCATTATTTTTCCTACATCTCCGAAATGATATACACTAAGTTCATGAGCTATATTTAAAGGGTACTACATTAACGCTTAAGTTAAGAAATAAGACAAATTAATTATCTAGAAAAAGTAAAAAGTTGTTCAATGTACAGTCCACAGTAATTAAATCGATCTGTGATTGAAATTCAAAAAATATAGGACTCTGTGAGGACATGTCCCAATACAGGGTGAGAAAAAAAAACTGCAACAAAGTCAAACGCCATAATTTATACATTTCTTTTCAAATTTTATTGAAGGAAAGCAAAAACTTTCGGAAATAGCATCAAATTTTAGAATAAGTTTAGATTGGTTCGAATTGGTCACCTTTAACACGAATTATGCTCTTCGAACGGCCAATAAAACCGTCACACGCTGTCCGGCGAAGCGCTTGCTTGAGGTGATCGACACTTTGGCATTTTTTAGTGCCAACCTTGCTTTCCAAAATACTCCCGACACAATAGTTCAACGGATTGGTATCCGGAGATTTTGGTGGCCAGTAATCGCGTAAAGTAATCGCGATCATTTTGTTTGTTTACAAACTGCTTGACAACGAATGTTTTCTCATCGGAGAAAACCAAATTCGGCAGGTCACCAATTTCGGCCCAGCGAAGCAACTCTTTAGCTCTTTTAAGTCTATTTTCTTTCTGTTGCGGTGTAAGTTGTTGCACTTTTTGGAATTTCAATGGCTTTACCCCGATCTCATTTTTCAATATTTGTCGAATGGAATACTGCGACGCGGGTTTCGATCAAGTCGCTTCTTTACTTTACGAACCATTCCTGCTGATGTTGCTGTTTTCTTCCGTCCACTTCCTTGACGTCGGGCTACGCTACCAGTATCACGGTAACGAGCGATGGTACGAGACACAAAATATTTTTACACATTTAAATGCTGGAGTGCTCAACGATAGCCACTTGCGGTTTTTCACCCAAATATAAAGAAATCACAGTCTCCAGCTTGAATTCCATCACGAATAACTTTTTTCTGGAAAATTCTCACAAAAAAAAGCTTTTGTACGCTTGTAAACAATATAATGAGCTGTAATTGGAATAATTTTAACAGCTGTCGGACTAGTGGCTTAAAAATGACAACAGTCTGAAGATGGTTGCAGCTTTTTCATCTCACCCTGTATTTAGTACAGAAACATTTCTAGTGCTCGCAGTGGCTTTAAGTTCTATTTTAAACTTAACATATATTAGCTTAGCATTTTATTTATCATTTTGTTAATGGCTGTTTACCGCTCAAATTTATTGACCTTCCACGAGAAAACAAAACAAGTTGCTTTTCATGTTAGCATCGTTGGCAATTCTCACACGCATTTATCGCCCTCCCACACAGTGCTTACCCTTTGCCTTGGTAAAATAAATTCTCAATCATTTTTGGATTCGAATGTTTTAATTTCCAAAAGTCAAAACATCCTATTGTTGACAAATTGCTTCTAAGTTACACAGCAACGCGATGAAGGCATTTGTTTATCTCTATTTATACAGGCCACTGAGTTGAACTTTTACCCTGCCTTTAGATTTGACGCCCTTCCATCCACCCTTCCGCACCCAGGCCCAAAAATACATACGTGGCTGAATTAAAACAAAACATTTCGATTAAATTGTTTTCAATTCACAATTGTTAGCTTTCTATTATTTAACTTTTATTCAATGCAAAGAAGTTGAACAATGGAAAATGTTTCATTCGTTTTTGTTAATAGCTCAGAGCCTTAACTACATGTGTGATTGTTGTTGTTGTAGTTGTTAATTGTGTATATTAGGCTGTAGCGCATAAAGCAAGGGGGATGAAACTCGTGGGTTTTGCGATTTGAATTTTTTATCCAATGGTTCGAACTGGAATTCCGTTTGATGGTATTTCACGCAGTGACAGCCGGTTTATTTTCAATTCGGTGTCTTGCATTTGAAATAATTCTCTCAGTAGTCTTTCGAGCTTAATGTTGTAACATTTGAATGAAGTCACTGTCAATATGTGTGTGTGTGTGTGGGTGTGTTTGCTTTTCCCTATTCGTTACAACCTAATATACATCGCAACATCGCAGAGACATACATTCACAGATTTACTTAATAATAGGTATTTACGTACTTCTATAATAAACTTTTGTGTGTGTGTGTGTGTGTTTGAGTGTTCTATGTGTGTAAATTCACTATTTTATTAGCAAGCGGGAACATTCGAGTTTATGTCAAATGTCTCATCGGCATCGTTGTGCTTGTTCTTGTTCTTTTTACTGTTGTTTTTGTCATTTATTCGTGTACTTCGAGCCAAGATTGTTACAGGAATAGAATCGTACTGCCATGGTTACATTTTTTAATGCTGATGTCACAATATTTGAACGGCTTTTCGAATCTTCGTGCAGTTCATTTTTCGATTACAACCAAAGTGCTCCCCCAGCACACATCATTCCAATCTGATAATCTGACAATCACATTGGGTCTGTGTGTGAGTGTGTGTGTGTTTGTTGACGTTTGGAGACTTAAAATTTAATTAACGGTTTGACGCACTATGTCCGGCGGCAACATAAAATTATTCTTCCTCAGCGGTATCTCGCTCAGCTGACGGTCGATTGGCAGACGTGTGTCGTAGAGCGATGGTGATTGGCAGATAATGGCAAACGTCCCGAAGATACATGACAACGTAAATGTCCATAAAAAGAATCGATCCAAGACCATGGAAACGAATTTCCAATCCTCAATAATCTGAAACAACAGAGAATAAAAAACAAAAATGACAACAAAGTTAAATGGCCAACGTGAGATGTTAAATGGCCAACGTGAAATGCGGTGCTTGTGGTTGAGACGAGGCCAACTCAGAAACATCAGCCATTTCCACAATCCTTCCTTTTCAATTAGGCTTAATGAAGAAACCACTGAAAACTCATCATTTTAAGCATGAATTGCACTATTTTCCCAATTTCACTCTAATTGCAAGTCCTCCGGCCGATGGCAAACAAAGCTTACAGCAGATGTTAAAGTTTCGAGGTAAACAACAACCGAGTGTTTGGTTGCCTTTGACAAGAAGAGGCCCAGACCGCATAATCGCTCTTCTGCTTCCCCTTCGTATTGGAAGGCATTTTTCTATTTATGTTTTTTTTTTTGTGAACACCCTTTAATAATTAAACCAAATAAAAAACCAGTAAAGAAAGGATAAAAGTCAGGCGGGCCGACGATGTTCCACAGAAATACGTTTATATGTATTGTAAATCTGTGTGAAGGATGAAAATGGACAAAGGTATTTCCATACTACATGTAATATCTTATATTGAATATCATGGTTATTGAATGCATATTAGGGCTTTAGAGAAATTTAAATATCTAATCGGGTCAAACCGATTTGTGACTGATATTAAACTTTTGCTGCACAATCGATGAATCGGTTGATATGGGATCTATATTCAAAGCTGAACAGATCTACAAAAAAATTGGCAAATATGTCATACCTTGGCTATATCTCATACCTTCAAACGATGATATTACGCATTCGGTGTTTAATAAAGACGAAATCGGGCATGCATTAATCGACTCAGAGCGAAATTCTTTGCAGATCACTGAAAGTAGCTATAGGTCTAGTCCAATTCGATCTCTTTTACATGTAACAAACACATGTACAAATGACTAATATCATGTACATACACATATCCATATCCAATACAATGTGATGTAGGCTATAATAAGATCTTCATCAAATTGTATTTTCAAAATATCAACAACTTCCCGTCCTGTTTTTATTGAATAACTCTCACTATATTTTTTGCCTGTGACGAATTCGTAACACATAACTCTGTACGTGTATCTTCACAAACCATCGCAGAAAAGGTCAAAAGGTCAGCATCCTCTATTTAAATTTAAAAGCTTTACATTTTGGTAATTTAAGCGACATTGTTTACCGAAATTGTTTCAAATTTGGTATTTGACGTTGGTAATGACCGAAAATTGTCTGTGCAGATCAACGTTTTGCTATAGTCCCCATATAATGGTACCTCCCTATATTCGGTATTTTGATGATTTTAGCTAGATCATTCATCGATTTTTTTCAAATTTCGCATTTGAATATTGTAATGGTTTATGACAAAAGTTGCCTATGCAGGTCCACGTCGACGTATAGACCCTATTACAACGGATACATTCGGTATTTTTAAGATTTTAACAGAATTTTTAACGGATTTACTTTTTTGAAAATTGCCAAATTCGTTCCAAATGGTGGAGGGTATTCAAAGTTCGGTCCGGCCGAACTTACAGCTTTTTTACTTGTTAATTGTTACTTTTATACCACTCACAAAAAAATACCCATCGAATGTTGATGTCCTGAGACAATCCTACCTCGTTCTGGGACACTTCCCGTGGCAAACTTAAATGTATCTAAGAACATCTGAAAGCTTACTTAAAAGCCGTTTCTGCGTTTTCGACTTTAGCCCAAATTTTATTAATTGGTCCAATCTCAATACCCGAAACCCTGATTGCCACAGAAAATTTCCTATGCTTTAGACTATTACACAGAAACACATTCTTTCTCATAAATGTTGATATAAGAAGGCATACATTTTTTTGGCACAAATGAATGAAAAATAAACATAGGGCGATTCCTTTGACCAAATTTTATTTAGGAATGGTGTAAACAAAACAGTCTCATTCCTTAGACAAACCTTTGCCTTCGTATGATCAACGCTGCCGCAGATGTGAAATGCTTACCTCGTTATCCTTGTCTGCATCCTTAATGTGTTGGGCTATGAAACGGACTGCGCGCAATGCCTGCAAAACTTCTGGTGTTAATCGTCGTGGTATTACATTATCCGAATCTGAAAACAAATTGTTTGGCATCATTTGGACGTCACATAAATCAGCTGCGGCACCTCAGCTTACCTATCGATGGCTGAACACCGTTGTCATAGGTGGCATCTTGGCCGTCTTTAAACTCACACGGATAGTCGCTGATGCTGTCTCTGAAAGCAAGATAATAGAGTGGGTACATTATACGTTTTACAGCTTCTGTTTGTACGGTGGACATGGTCGGAAATTACCTCACATCGATCTCGTTGGTGTATCCGTTGTATTCCGGATAGTTATTAAAGTCGGGCATTTCGATCGGCGATCGTTGCATAAACATTATTTTGGGCATGAACGTTATAAAGACGGTACGTACCCATGGTGACATGTTGTGGGTGGAGGGTGACCTGGGACAAGTCATATGCAGGGTGCGTTTTAATAAAGATCAAGAAGATGGAGAGATGCAAAATAAAAGGACGGTGTGAAGAGAATTAGACCCAAAGGAAAACAAGAGCGGTGTGTAGAAGGGGGGAGGGAGAGAGAAATAGAAATAGGTCGTAGTGACTAAATTCGGTTACTTGGACTTACCGGAAATGGATATTCAAGACACAGACCGTTGTCCAGACAGACAACGACACCAAGATCATTGTAAATAGGAGGTATTTGCCAAGCAGTGGTACAGCCAACGATGTTGGCGGTATAATTTCGGCCAACAGCAAGAAGAACACAGTCAAAGACACAAGAATAGAAATACATAACGTAACCTGTCAACGATATGTAAATCGCACATGTACTAGCGGTCCAGACCACGCCAGCGCCAGGGCTAAGCGTGCTGGCCGCGTACAAGAAGTGTGGGAGTGGTTATGTCCATTACTCTTGTAATACTCATGTTGTATTTTTCAAATCAAATTTCAATATTTTCAAATTTATTTTTTGTTTTTCGTTTTTTCTTTTATTTTTTTTTTGGCAATTGGCATCTATACAAAATAGGGGACACTGAGGCAGATAGACACACACATACAGCACATAAGGTGGTGCTTAACCAACTCAATGTACAGTTATCCACATACTTGTGATGGCAAATACTCTAATAATCGGACATCACAAAACTTCAATATCAAATACTCAAAAAACAAACACAGTTAAGGCAATACTCGTTTTGGGGGTGGTTTATGGGTTAATTGGGGTTCATACATACGTACATATATTTATATATAGGTAAAGTGTCAAAGTACATACATACGTTTACATTGATCTACACCGGAAAACAAAAATGTTGTCCCAACATCTAGCAGTTCTACGGATATTATGAATGATTAATAAATGGTACCAAAACTCAACGGGTCGTGGTAGTCAAAAGCCGTGTGAAAATTTCCAAGTGTTAACAGTAAAAATGATTGACCTGCAGCCTGGTACAGTCCGTCCATATGTGATTGGTAGGCTTTAAAAAAAAACACACTTCCTAATTAGAGCCACTAGATAATATAGTTCGTCTTCGACTATTAAAGTTATCCATCGTAACGACCTTTCGGAATGTTATCTTGCGCACATTTAATGACTGAGTCACAATAATCTATTATTGATTTCTTTTGTTTTTTATTGTTTATTGAAATAGTTGTTTCAATAATGGTACAATTGTCACAACAAACAAAATGTATGTGTAATGGTTTGAGCATGGTAGAAGAATATAGGTAGATGCATCAACGCTTGGGAACATTGATATGTCAAAAATTTTAAAATAAGTAAATTTTAAATAAGTCGATTTTTAAATGTTTTCTTATATGATGCAAATCGGAGGTTGTTATAATATTTTCTACAATTTTTACAAATTTCAATAGATTTTCATTCAACATTTTCAATTCCAAAATCAGTTTGACAGTTCATTGTCCCAGCAGCTGTGTCGATGTGACTTGTATTCTTCTACCATGGGTTTGAGTCAAGATATATTGAATAGGTAGTGTCGTCCGCGAATGTCATACAAATTTTTAACAACAAATATCCGAAAATTTGAAAAAAAAAAAATAGAAAACAAAGGATACTTTTTTAAGGAAAATATCAATAAATATAAATATTTATTACTCAGAGACAGGTGGCACGACAACACTATCTGTTAGATATGCCTTGGTTTGAAATGCAATAAAACTTCATTTTTGAAAAATTCTTGGGAAATAAACTTCCAAGTTTTGGAACGAAACAAAGTCTTAATCCTATCAGAAAGGGGGTATTGTGAAAAAATGGGTATTACCATGGTACAATGAAATGAAGGTAGGGCTATAATACCATATGCTTCCAATTTTTTTTTTATATTTTCGGCTTTAAATGTCAACTTTGTATGTCTATGTGTGTATTGTTTTCAATCACAAGAAAATTGTTTATTATTAAATATTCAAACTCAGTTGATTTCAAAATGCTCATTGCAACGCCTGGTACAATAAAATAGTAAGGTGGAGCTACCAGCTGATTACATTTTTTTTCTAAGTGTGCCCGACTACTGCCAATTTTGTGTATGTGTTTATTGTTTTGAAAAATGAAAACAAACTATTTTCAAAACCAATGATTGGCAGACACGTACATTGCCGCTCGCGCATTAAAACTTTTAACAATTTTAGCCATTAAATTGAAAGATTTAATAGTTTGGATCATATTTTTGAGAGAAACACCAGGCATTTCATACATTTTCGCGCTATTTAACTCATTCTAAAAATGAGGAAAAATATGAAAAAAAATGAAAACAACTTGTTGTATATAATTTTGAATGAGTCTGTATTTCTGTAGTTTTAAGAAGTTGTTCTACCTCCTTATTATACCATGATTGCAACGTATGAATGGACAAAATTTACACTTGTTGTACCGAAATAAATCTTTGGAGACTATAGGACATGATTTTGAAAATAAATTTTGAACAGAAAAGGCAGAGCAGAAAATGCTCATGGCTCAATCAGAAAGGTTGCTCAACTTCAAGAAAGTAGGAAAAATGCAACTCTATACCGGAGTCTTATAGTGTCAAATAGATTTTTAAATACGCAACAATTTGTTTTGTTTATTTTATATATTTTTTAACAAAATTCTTATATTGGAAAGAAAGCACAAAACGTGAACGGACTGTTTTGGTTTTTCCACAAAATCGAATCTAAAATAGTAAGACAATATCTTTGATCTCAAAATTGTACAATTTTTTGACCAAAACGTCGAAAATATGAATTTCTTTTGCCACTGAATTTGAAGTAGTTAAAATTGTTTCATTTTATTCAAGACAATACACACACACATATACAAATTGTGTACCTTTTTGACAGAATAGGGGCGCCAAAAGAAAAATATGTATTTAAGAGGTAGTTTGATCTACCTATGTAATTGTACCATGTATAGGTTGTCTCGTGGCTCAATAAGAAAGGTTGATCAACTTCAAAGAAGCTAGGAAAATGCAAGTCTGTACGGGAATCTTATAGTGTCAAATGGTCTTTCAAGCATTCAAAAATTAATTTTGTTTATTTTTTCTGTAATTGTACCATGGGTGGCCCCATGCAGTCATATATTTACAACTTTTTCAATATTATTTCGATTGACATCATATTTTCAAAATATATTTTAATTGTGCTCCTATTTCACATTGAAGAAGTGGGCCGATAGTGTTCATTTCGAAACCTGAACGAGTATTGATGTAAATATCAGAATTTATTTTGAAGCAGTAAAACCTATATGTTTCAATCTTTGCACATAATACGTGTTATTGTTTCCTTAAAAGTAGCCGGCCTTCGGCCGAAACTTGTAGTCATTTCCTCTGAATTTTTCCTAATATGATAATTGTTTAGGTTACCACCCTTCGGTCCTGAGATTTTTCCGCTGCGGTATGTCCAACATCGATTACGGGAATTTTCGAGACCGGCGAAAAAAATTATAGTGTTTTAATCAGGATAAAAAGACCGACCTACGGTAAAAATGCTCCATTCAAAAAAAAAAATGCAATCCCTCAGTTGTAAACACGATATAATTTTATTAGAAATGGCTAGATGTGCAGTTTTGCCTATATCTGATACTGTCTTAAAGAGTTAACGTGATCAGAAAGTCGGATGAAGCACTTACTTAGATTGACACAAAGCTTACATAAGGTCGGCCAGGAAAACTTTTCACAATAAACATAGTCACAATTGTGTTTTGGCAGCAAACTTGGTTGTCAGATGGACTTTGTGGTCGACCTTGTGTAGGCCTTTGTTCGACACATATTTAGAATAAGGCACATTTTGGGCGAATCAATTTATATGCAGCCCTGTAGTCATTTTTGTAGTGACTTTTAATATGAACGATTGTGTTTAACAACCCCATTTACAGAAAATGCAGAGATGGGAATGCTTATTTGAAATGACTTTTCCTAATTGATTCTACCATGAGACACTTCTAAATGATTTTTCTATGCCTTGTAGGATTTTCAATATTTTTTACAGCGTTACCAAAAAGTAAAAGGCATGTATTTATCATGTTACAATGAAATAAAGGTAACCCCATTTCAAATAAGAATTTCCAGCTCTGTATTTTGTGTAAATGTCCTTACCTTGCAAAATTTCACTACATAGAAAACGGTTCCCATCTCCGATTTTGTGTATATACTGTGGATTTTGACAATAAGATGTTGTCAAAAGTAACAATTTGATAAAATCGTAAACATATTGCCTTCTTAGTTCTACCAAAAGGTTTCAACATTGAATGAATAATAAAACAAATGTAATGTAAATGTTAGCAATTGAAAAATATTTCAATGGGGTGAATTTAATTAAGTATCGATTGAAAAAACTTTATTATTTGGTAGATTTTAAGGAACTGACGTATTTTAGTATTACGGAAGTGCAAAACATTTTACCATAGTGTTTAGTTTACCATAGTAGAATTTTTTTGTACACTACTTTTTTTTAGGTAGCGCTGTTGGTTCCATGTTCATTCTCGTCTCGATGACAGTGAATTTCAGGAACAAATTTGATCTTGGTTACTGAAACCTCTGCCCTCTCTGCTACCCTCGTATATTATAGACTATTGTATGTAGCTGATATAAACTATAAGCCACATTGGCTCCTTATATTACAATAGAGAAAATAAATGGAAAAAGGGTGTCTGATAAACAGCTGCAGCCTTTTTTCATTAATAGCTCTGAAGTTGCAAGGCATCATTTTCAGAGTTGCATTTTCCGAATTGCATCAACCTTTCCTATATTGTTTCGGTTGTAACGTGGTTCCAATAGTCATATAATAGCTCTTCAACATTTAACAGAGAATGTTCGTAGTTATGTATGTATGTTTGTATAATTAGTATGACATCTCGAGCGTGTGTACTTATGTATGAAATTGTGTTCGTATGTGAATCCCATTGTTATCGAATGAATGAAAAGATCGCCCGCTAATGGTCCTACTCAGACGCATACATATGCATGCAATATATGTATGTAGCATATGAATGGCCCTCGCTCGAGTCAAACTACATTCACGGACAGACAGACAGCAGAACTAACCAGCTAACAAACGAGCGAGCTAGCGAACGAACGAACGAACAAACGATCAATCGAACGAATCCTTAACACGAACAATACACCGATCAACATCATTATTCATGGCTTACGAATACATTCGATGATATTTACGTTATGAGATTTCTCTAGTCTTGAACTAACACAAAAGTACCATTCGCCATTTGGGCCGAACTCCCAAACGAAATCTTTTGTGTTAATTGATTGTTGTTGTTGTCGTTTGAATTGGATGAAATATGGTAGCGGAAACAGGAAAAAGAGTAAGAGACAGGATAGCGTACTGGAAGCAGGATTTTAGAGACATCAATGTTTCGCTAGTTCAAGCCGTATATGTGTATGTGTGAGTGCATGAAAAGTAGTTGGTCGAACAGTTAAAAGTTTGTTAGTCGATTTAGTTTTGTTGTTAGTAAAGAAATATAGCAAAAAACAAAACAAGCATGCAAGCAGATTATATTTTTGAGGCCAAAACATAGGCATATTTGAAAAGAGGCAAATTTTGTCCTAATTAACATACAAACAAACAACTACACTCTACACATTAATATGAATCTGTCCCTGTTTTGGATTGCAATTTTGTCCCAAAACTCCGATCAGAACAAATCAAATAAAGCTGCTTTAAAAAAAAGAAGCCAGGAATTGGAAAAAAGTTTACTTGCCTTTTCGCCAGAGTCGCTGGGCAAATAGAAGACCAGCACCGTGAGGAATGTTAGAGCTACACATGGAATTATCAGGTTGACCGTGTAGAATAGGGTTTTGCGGCGCATTGTTAGCTTAAATGTAATGTCTGCAAGAATAACAATTAGAACGACAGTTATTAACAGTTTTCATATTTGACTGCGATGACAGTGTCTGCCAACAGTGCTGTGACGTCTTCACAATCACAGCATAGTAACTCTCGAAGACTACGACAAACTGGCAGCATTTTCAAACACAAAATAAGAACATAGACCTATCAATAATAAAATATTACACAACTTGTATAATGAACTGTCTTTCTCAACAACAACAAAGTAATCGGTGTACATTCACATTCATGAAATCCCTAATCTTTTAAAATTCCATCTTACCAGAAAATGGTTCTCTAGTATCGGGATAATATTCCTCATTCTTAGTTGCAGGAACTTCCAGGATATCCCATTCCACAGATAAATAAAATTCGCTTAGATCAATTCCAATTTGCACTAGATTGCTTCCAGGAACCTAAACAAACAAACAAACACAATAATCATATTGAGCTTTTTATGTAGGGCTGAAACATCGGTCAGTTGTTTTATCATCATTTTGAATATTTCACGGAACAGGCCCTTTGTATTGCGTAGAAATTAAGAAGTGGCTTTTTAGGGCTAGACCTTGTGACGTCAAAGAAAACACTGAAGATGTTAAAGCTCTTATAAAATGTAATTCAAAAAGCAACCACTAGATTTATCACCCTATATTTTAGTGGATAGGTGTATAATAACCTGGTCTAGATGTTTCAAATCCACTTGAGCACCATTGTATGTCCATGAGCCGAATTTCATAAAGCAAATCTGTTCGTCATAGGGAAAATATTCGACATTCATTTCGCATGACGACTTATAAATTGCTGGTGGTTCCCAAAACACCTCCCCTGTGTACTTTAAGGTAGCCTTGGTCATCAGCGTTACCTGGAAAGAATTGAATTTCAAATTATTCTGCGACCTGAAGTTAGTCTGATTCACGAATTAAAATACCTCATAATTGCCGTCCCAATTATTGTAGAGTACAATATCCGGAACCCATATATGTTCAGATGGCACATAGAGTTGCTCAACACCGCCATATTCCTCCGGATCCCAACGCAATTTGTAATCAAACCAACGCTAAAAAATAAGAATTCAACTATTTTGACAAGTTTCGTAGAAGGGACTCACATACCTGTTTCACCCATAAATTGGTGGTCATAACCTGATTTCGAAGATTAACCTCTATCAATTGCGATAGCTTCAGACCCAACCAGACGGTTAATGTTTCCGTATTGTTCACAACCGGCCTGATTAAGCGGTTGTAGTTGCTCAACAAATCATCATACAGTCGTTTAGTATCCGGGTTAGCCTCGAAGCTCAATGGAGCTGAAAATCAATACCAGTCATTAATTTGCGAAAGCTGGGCATAAACAAAATTCCCAACAATCCAAATAATTTTTTGCAATTTGATAAATTGTAACCGAGTCTTTGCTTAGCTGTCATGACCTACATACATATAGGCAATGTTTGTAAACAAATTTCTGAAACTCCATGGTAAATAAATGCCATTGCGCATGTCCACACCATTAGAATGCACAGCATCTCAGTCTAAGGGCGTTTTTCTCAATAGAGATTTTTCACAAGTGTCTTCAGGCAATCGTCTCATTTTTGGTACACTTTTTTAACTTACCCATTGAAAATGAGTTGGAAATGCATAATGAGATGATTAAAAGTGAAATTTTTGACATAATTCAAATGTTTCACCCTGCTGCAGCCTTATTTAAAATCAATTTCAGAATTAGTCTTAATTGTTGCAATTTTTACATAGTGCTGAACCTCGGAACCTTGTTTCCCAAGTGATGCTGATTCTAGGAGGTGAAAACTGCTACTGAACAACAGCATTCTCAGGATGCTCTTTTATTTTGTTCTATGAAAAGTTGCTGGGGTGGAAATGCAACTCTGACAATAGTTTGAAAAGCTTTGTTGTATGAATGAAGGACCGTTACCAAGCAACCGACATTTCCCGTGTTTTGACAAATTTGCTGGCCGAAATTCTTTTCTTTTTCTTCATCAGGGATATTAAGAATCAACAATGTCCTTTCCATACAAATTTAATTATGCCCAAGTGGCTCGTGAATCTGGATTTCAAATTCGCATTTTTAACGATGGCCCATTGGATTGGCATTTAATGGGTAAGTACGCGTTTTTTCCCTTATCAGTCTGCAATCCCATATCATTCTCCCCAAGCAGGTTCTGTGGAAGTGGAACGCATTGTACGTGATCAATGTCTTGAGCAAATAGATTCTGTATTGAGTCATTTATCAGAAGCACCTTTGGCTTCTATACTTGAAAGCAACATCCTGGATAGCGGTATTGCCAAATACTTCTTGCTCTCCCAATTCTCCATACAGTATTTACTGTTCTGTCGCAAGTTCCTTGAGGAAACATTGGCAGACCTTAGAGAAAGTCATGCGTCTGCACAAATGGACGTTGCCACCCTAAAGAGGTCATTATCGGAAGCCAACAACGAAATTCTTCAATTAAACAAACGGGTTACTCAGATGGAGGCAATACACGAAGTCATCTATCCATGTCACCTGTGCACCAAGAACTTTGTAAGCAATGACGCCTTAAATCTCCACATTTCTCGCAAGCATAACAATAATAAAAATGTTAAGTACGATTTGCCAACTGTAAAGGATCGGGAAAATGATCTGAGTTTGATAAATACGATCAAGTTGGAATTAGAAATAAAACGCTTAAAGGAGCGTTTAAATAATGCCGAAAGAAAAATAAAGGAAGGTGTGGAGGCAACATCGCCGTCAGGAACTAAAAACAAATGCAACAGCAATACACCAACACCAATAGCACCAATAGCAACCAATAGTATCGGAATACAAAGTAATTTAACCGAAACGAAAGAGCAGGATGAGAAAAAAGACGAAAGCCCGCATATATGTCAGAGGGCAGAACAGATTTCAAATTTACATGAATCACTTCTTGACTTAAGTAAATGGAAGGAGGAACAGCGCCATCAAAGCTCTGAGTGTTTAGCTGAAATAAATAAGAAATTGAAAGAGCTAACGGAAGTCATAGAACAGCAAAAACAACATAGACCAGACGAATTGCCTTCAACATCAAAGGCGTCAATAGATGAGTTAGATGCTTGGTTAAGTCTAAAGGTAGACGAAATCAGCGAATTAACCTTCGGAAAGCTGAATGAAGTAGTTAAAAGGATGGAAAGTAATTATAAAGAAAAACTGGAGACACTTGAAACGGAATTACTGAAGAAGAAGTCTAAGCAGACAGAAGCAGTTCAATTTATCCAACCAGTCAAAGACACTTTGGAAGCAGTGCAAGAATCAGCTAGCGACAATATCACTGTCAAAGATGAATCAAAGCAATCGCAGACACAAACAGTTTCATACAACAAACGTTTTAATGAAAAATGTGATGGGTTCGAAACAGACTCGTCATTGGAAGAGGGGTCCAGTTCGCATAGTAATCACACCTTTACAAAATCCCAAGCGCAAGCTCAAGAAAACAGTACGTCCAATTACACATAGTTCATCGTTCTTTCATTTACTTTTAGTTTGACTTTCATCTAGAATATGATCGAGGACACGATTCTGACACAGATGAATCGGGCGGTGTAGTAAGAGATAGAATCAAATCCCCTGGTCGAAATAACTTTGGAAACAACGAATCATCCGGACGTACTACCAAGGATAATACAGAGAGAAACCCGTACAACGATACGAAGCATAGGATCATGTAAGTATAAACGTTATTCCAGAACGGCAGCAACCCTTGCAGTACCCACACCACCGATTGTTATTTTATCATGTCTTAGCACACCAAAACCTAAAACAGTTACAAGAAAAGAAACCAGACGACTCTTGAAATCACGCTTAATAGACTTGGGCATAGACAAGCAAGTGACCAACCTTACTCCAACGTCAATGAAAGTGGTAGCCAAAGAGCTAAGTGAAAGAAGACACAAACTGAAAGAGGTAAGCATAAGAAACAATTTTTAAGAATTTAATTTTAATACCCCAATTTACCAGAAATACCCCAATTTTTATGCAACAAGAAATAAAATAAAAAAGTTTGTTGATAAACTCTGTTCCTCTAAATTACCTGAAAATGCGCGAGCATTATTGGATGCTACTAGGCCCCCGAAACAAGTGGGAAATTCATTGAAGCAAACGGAAGCCGACTTTTCAATTTCTCCGGACGAAGAAAATAAAAATGCTGAAGAAAAGCCAAAGGGCTACGCAACTTCAGAATTCGGATTGCACTCAGTACACGATCCGGAATTCAAACAAAGGCTTGAAAGTATCCTCGCATCACCGATAAGAAAGCCCGAGGAAAGTTTTAAAAATAATTCAAGCGAGGAAAACGACATTAAAGCACCCGTTCCACTGCCTCGGAAGAAAGTAGTGTTTAGTCGAAGTGATATCAACGACACCCTAAGTTTAAGTGAAGCAGAGAGTCCTTCATTTACAAAGAAATAAATTTCGTTATAAATAGCAATACAATTTTTGTAATGGTGGGTTTTACTTTATATGACATAAATCGAAGCCAAATTTAAATCAATTGTACTTGATGTTTTTGTATAAGATCAGCAATCAGTTGATACGGTATAATGTGTTGGGAACCGGCAGCCAAATCCACTTCCTCGTCATCCACACCAACAACAACAGCAGGTACTGATATAAAATAGAAAGAAAGTATATTAGTCCATTGCGAGGATGCATTGAATATTGCGTTGCGAGATACCTGAAACGTTTGCCTTGACAAACACATGACTCATTAAATTAGGCCTTACTATCCTTTGATCTGCCTCAGATCGCTGTGTATTCGGCATATATTGAAGTGCAATTTGCTGGAAACATTCCTCCATATTTTCATAGTATTCCTGGGCAAATTTCGTTTCTTCTGGCGACAAACGCTTTTCTTCGGCACTTCGAGTGGATTCTTCATTGAGTAGGTGTTTGGTATATGTTTCAATTTTTTGCAAACGACACCTTAGATAGCTGGCCATCACATAACGTATCCGTTCCAGTTCCATTTGATGCACGACAAATCGAAAGTCGTTTTTGTCCAGGTCTTTCATGTTTTCCTCCATGTGTGCCAACTGGCCCATCATCAGTTCCAACATATCACTCTGATGTTGCAATATGTCTGGCGCACACATTTCATTGGTCCACGCCGTCTCGAGAAACTCTAAAACTTTTTGCGCTGTGATCTCCTCGCCTTCATCGTCGTCCTCATCATCGTCTGCTGTTCGATTTAAGCAAGCATCCTCACGGGTAATCTTTGTTGTATAATCCTCTTCCGACATTGGGCAGGAGAGTGAGATTTTGGAAAATACACAGAATTTTAGACAAATTAGCGCGATGTACGATTTATTTTCAAAAGATTTGCGATGTAAACAAACGCTGCTTCTACTTCTTCTTGGCTCTCGGTCTGAAATGTTAGCATATCGGTGAAATCATCTCACTGTGAGTTCAGTCTCATTAGGTGTTGTCGTTTCAAAGTGAATGAAGTTCGACACATCGTGCGTGCTCCTGTTTCACTGTTTTCATTCTAAAAAATTAAAAATGAGTCAAGAGGACTTCCTGAAAAACTATAGAATTATTGTTGAAAAAATATTCAACAATTGGCAAAACCTACGTCTGGCAGTGGAACATGGCATGGGAGGCAGAAATGGACAACAGGTAGTGTTCAATAAATATTCAGAGAATCTTTATAATGACTTTCTTTAAATAGGTTGCCATAGAAATAATGAACTATACGTACCAATACTGCGTTGGAAATGAAAACATAACTGAGGGAGAGCTTCAGGATGTTATTGAAGAATTGTTGGACCAGGAATTCGATACTATATGTGAAGATGGGTCTGTAGCAGAAATTTCCCGACACTTGTTGCGCTACAAGCACATGAGTATCCAGGGACAATATGCGGAAATAGAGGCGGAACTGAACAGACTACCACAGGGCAAAGAATGGCTGAGAAACGATGTAAAAATCACTTACACACCTATAGACGGTGAATCCTCTTCTGAAGATGATGGCTCAGATTCCTCCGGCGACGAAATGGACGTAGAAGAACAACCCTCTTCTAGTAGTAAAAGAACAACACGGGCACAAGCACGTAAAGAGGAGGATGATTTTGTTGAACCGGAAGAAGGCTGGACTACAGTTAGAAATAGGAGGAAATAGTGTGCACCTTCTCGCGTTTATCATTTAATAAAATATTTGTACCTACCTAGTAAAAATAGAGCGGCACGAGAATGCTAAAAAAATAATACCTTAAGAAAATAAGTTTTCATTTATTTCTTTTAAATCCATGAAACGTAATGAATCAATCTGCTCTTTCGCATCTGGGATGCGATGGCGTCCATAGCAGAACTCGCAATTTTCTACAAAATGTATGTGATCTTTACATGTCTTAACCTTTGCATTATTCAAGGCATTTTGCATTTCATTCCATGACTTGAGAGATTTATTCGTTCTTCCTTTTAATATCAGCGATACATCAGCTACCGATGAGAAGGCATCAATATCTGGCGTAAGGGACATATTAATTGCTGGGTATATGAAAAATGCAAAAAACGCCAGACCCACAAGCACGAGCATTGGTAGCAACACGGCGAAATATTTGTCTGGTAAGTAGGTCAATCCCAGTTGCTTAGTTGGCAAAAATGTCCATGAAATATAAAATACAAATAACGTAATAACTAATAGGTAAAACGAGTATCCGTAAATTGCTCTATGCGGTGTTGGAGCCGGTGAGTGTTCTGGCATTTTCCAAGTCGAAGTTATTTATCGTTTCCCTGCACAGCAGAAGGTTCTCAAAGAACGAAGTGATGGCTGTCCTTAAATTTTTGACCTGGTTAGCGACAAAATGAACTTCTAAAGTTGCTTCTTTCAAAACAATCTCTTTTTTCACGAAGTTTCTTCTTGGCTCTTCATCCACCTTTAGCACGCGATAGGCTATTTCAGCATGTCTTACAGATTCGAAAGGAATTTTAAGCGTTCTGAAAAATGGTTTATTAGTAACTATTTTGTTTCTGTATGTCAGTTGCCTACGCTTCTGTGTTTGTTGTTTCAGGCGTGGTAGAAGGATCCTCAAAAGGCATCGTAGGAATCCTATTATTCTAGTAAATGTGCCGTTCTGGTACGAATTATGTGAAACGTTAATTACAATAAACAACGTGAACTAGTCCCAATTCCATCGAATACATATTTGCCTCAAAATGAAATAAACAAGGTGTCGTAAGCTTTGCCCGTCTGTTTACCGGCGACAGAAACGACGTCAAGAAATTTGTTTAGAATATATTCATGGAATGAACTGTCAAACAATGTTTGGAATGCACAATTTCGAATTAAAAATTATTTATATATGTAAATATTGTTAAAAGATGCGAATTATAATAACCTCCGAATGACGTCGTATAAGAAAACATATAAAAATCGATTTATATTTTAAAAAAAAAAAAAAAAAAACATTTGAAAAGTTTTGACATGTCAATGTTCCCAAGTGTTGATGCATCTATCCGTCGATACGAAAGTGAATAAGAATGAAAAACACCAATATTCAAATTTCTGTGCACACATAACAAACCGGGTTCAACTTTCAATTCTATCGCAAATATGTCAATTTAAATCGAATCTCAAATCCAGTAGTTTTCATTTGACGTCTATGTAATGGAATTGACACATGAACTCCACTCGATTCTTTATGTATGCCACCCTGTAGGTGGCAACATAGTGTCACTTTAAACATGTCTCATAGGAAGAAACCTTTCAGTGAATCGTTCCATTGAACTACCACATTTGGAAAACATAGTTTGTTTTTTAAAAAGTTAAAAATCTAAAACCTCAATGAAATGGCGGACGATGCAAATGAAGACAGTTGGTTGTATGGAACATCAAACCCCGATTCTACCACAAATGAGGAAGAACGAACTGAAAGTGCACCGGATGAAAATGCCGGGTTTGAAAAAGACAGCTTGCAACTGACCTCGAAATCAGAAAATGAGGCCTTGGCTGCAATAATTGAAGGAGACGATGTTAATGGATCTCAAGAAAAAGACGATGAGCCGACGACAGAAGCAGATTTGGTGGAATTCGAAGACCCTGCTCATGAAATGGAGGAGGACGAGGAGGCAGCAGCTACTGCTGATACTACGGAGGACGGTGAGAAGGAAGAAGCGAGAGAAAAAATGGCTGGTGATTCGGAGAATGAAGCTGAGGACGACGATGATGATGAGGACGACGACGATTCCGATGACGACATTAATGTTGTAATTGGGGATATAAAAGCGGCTCCTAGCACATTCAATATAAAACAACGCTCAAATTTATTGGCGGGAGCATCTGGTCCGGAAAAAGTTAAGATTGCGGCTCAAGTGGGAAAATTCTCCATTGAAGATTTTGAAGGTGTTGGTTCTATAAATGGTGTAGCTGCCCATGAGTTTAGTATAGATTCATTGGAGGACAAGCCTTGGCGTAAGCCTGGCGCTGATATTACAGATTACTTCAATTACGGCTTCAATGAGGAAACCTGGCGGGCCTACTGCGAACGTCAAAAAAGATTTAGAGTGGTGGAAAGCGGTGTAGGACTAGCTAGTTTAACACAGAATTTAAACCCGCCAGCTGAAAAAACCGGCGAGGGAAATATTCCACTGGGAGGCCAACAACAGGCAATGGGCCCGCTGAGTCATGCTCCTCCAGGACATATAGACCATATGCAAATGCCTCCGCCAGGAATGATGCCACCACCTGGGCCGCATCAGGGGCCTCCAACTAGGTTTGGAATACCTAGGGGACCAAGACCAATTCTACCCATTCCAGGAGCAAAAGAAAACGCCATACAAGTTATGACAGCAGAATGTAGGGAATATTCAAGAACGGGTCAGATGCCACCAAACTTTGCTGGACCTGGAGAAGAGCAATTTTTCCATGAACCGGAGCCTTTTGACTATGGTTACGAGCCTACACAGGACTCTCAATGGGGCAGAGAAAATCCTAATTGGGTGCCAACAGGTATTAAAGAACTTACCCCAGGCCCTAATCCAGTTCAAACACCACCTCAGCAAATGTCAGGTCCCCCGGGTATTATGTCAAACCCCATGGGTGTGCCACCACCGCAGATGTCCGGACCTCCTCCTCAAATGCGTCATCCACAGCAAGGTATGATGCCACCTCCAAATATGGGTATGGTTCCACCTCCAATGGGTATGATGATGGGTCCCGGTGGTCCACCAATGCGAATGCCAATGGGACCACCCCGAATGATGGGACCAAATGGGCCTCCGCCAGATCGTATGGATGAGGACAGAGAAAGAAGGCGACGTGAAAGAGAATGGGAGCGAGAAAGAGACAGAGATAGAGAAAGGTTTGAATGCGTTAACTAAAACTGATACAAACAATAACACCTGTATTTTTAGATCGCGAAGGGAACGTTCGAGAAGTCGAGAAAAATCTCGGCGAAGGTCAAAGTCAAGGGAGAAAGAAAGAGAAAAGGAACGTGATAAAGACCGTGATAGGGAGCGTGAAAGGGATAGAGGCGATCGTGAAAGGGATCGAGATCGCAGTGAAAAAGACGTATGTTATGAACAATTTAAATATAATATTTATTACTTTGGTTTTGTTCTGGTAGGACACTGAACGTTCCGATGAGGAACGCGAAAGGAGACGAAGAGATCGAGATAGAGATCGCGAACGAGATAGAGATCGTGAAAGGTATTATATAAGAAAACAAAAATTACACAAAACTTCAACTTATGTACTTGTTCTGGCTTTATTCAGGTCAAGACGGGAACGGTCAAGAAGCCGAGAAAAGTCTCGTCGACGATCGAAATCCCGAGAAAAGGAGCGAGATCGGTCTAGTAAATCTGCCACAGCAGCATCAACAGCGTCGTCGTCATCAAGTCGCAGTGAAAAGAAAAAATCTCATCGCAAGGAAGATGAAGAATAAACACTATGAATTATCTAAAAACAAAAATTATGCTAAAAATACATTCAGGAGTCATATATATCTACACATTTTTTTTTACATAAAATGGGAAATAATTATACAGCGTTTTTCCGGGTAGCCCATAGAAATTTGATCATTATTTGGCCTTTGTTCAACGTTTTTGAGTATAAGCAACGATTAAATTCTTCCAATAGTGACATTTTGCAGTTCCTAACATTCACATGTTTCGATTAATTGTTTTTATTTTCAACATACAAAAAATAACTTCTTCAATTGGTAATATGGATGTTAACCAAATACCTAGAACGTGCACATTTTCAAAGTTTATGTATGAACAGTATAAAAATGTGACTGTTATTGGAAAATATTACAATCATTGTTTAGTAGGTTTGAAGATATGCACCTGAAGTATTTGGATAAAAGATTCATACAAATCACTTTACCATGTTCTGCAATTTGCATTAATATGGATGTTATCCAAATACCTAGAACGTGCACATTTTCAAAGTTTATGTATGAACAGTATAAAAATGTGACTGTTATTGGAAAATATTACAATCAATTTTTAGTAGGTTTGAAGTATGCACCTGAAGTATTTAGATAATAGATCCATACAAATCACTTTACCATAGTGGAGAAGTTGACATTTTGTGTACATCACGTCGAATTTTTGATGGACCACTACAATAACTAACAGTTCTTGTTGCAGAAATAAATTGTCAATGGAAGAGGTTTAATAAAAGGGGGTTTTCAAGGAAATTTATTAAGTTTACGAGTATCATCTATTTCTATTCATTAAGGAAGGATGAATGATGCCGGAAGAAAGCAGGCTTTGTCTAATGGCTATATTGCAGTACAATGAACCATGGTGTATTTAGAACGGATATAGTAAGACTGCATATTGTCTTCTTGTGCTGTCACAACGGCTTGATTTAATTAAATAGATATACTGAACACAAGCGTGTACAGCGTTTTAATAAAAAAAATTGTTAGAAATATTTGTATTCTTCCTCCTGAAGGATTGCTAGAAAAGAAAAAGGTTCTGGAACAGACCAATAGGCTCATCAAAGCCAAACTACAGAAAACTAAAGTGCAGACCATCTGAAAAATTAACCATGCGAGTAGCGTTCTCCAATCTACATTGTTTTTGAACAATCCATATTATGTTGTATGGTTTCCTTAATAAACGACTTTTTTTAATGCTACTTTAAACATAAAATATTCAAATTTTTGGTCTGTTTCAGAACTGTTTTTCCTACGATAACCGATTTTCCCTTTATGATATCGGAACAAATTTAGCAACTAGTAGATTGTTGCATGTACTGGAACAGACCATTTATTTTCCAAGGTATTTATCTCCTTTAATTAAGTAAGCTTTAATTAAGACACATAACAATTTGTTTAACTATAAATGTTCCATAAGTGTAAAATGAGCAGGTACAAAGGTATATATTCAAATTTCAAACCGGCTGGATCTATCGCCAGTTAGCTGTATGCTAATACTGTTCATTATTGTACCAAACATAGAATTAAAGAACTGAATTATGGTTTTAAAATAACGACAAAATCTTCATCTTTTTTTGGTATCAATCTTCATTTCTTTCAGATTAATTGAAAATAGGATGTTTAAATGATGGACATAGCAACAACAAAGAAATCAAATGTACACACACGCACACATACACATTTATGGATACTTATTGTAATTTGTCTGATTATTTATGCTCAAAAAATATCGTGACATCAAAGGTCTTGGGTAACGTAAAATACACGCACAGACTACACATACCCAATCTAGATGTCAATTAAAAAATATATACGGGGTCTGGGAATGGTCATGTACACATACGTATGTATGTACCTACCATTCTTATGTTTGAATGAATGCAATAAACGCCGGATATCTACTGGCGTGTCCATGAGTGTATCGAAAGATGGCGGTGGCACATAGAAATGGCTTTAAATTCTTTTCCATTTATTTGCATCAGGTGACCACCACCGAGTGAGTCTATTCATTAGGAAATTAATAAATACATATACGAGTTCGTTTATCTATTCGTTAATATATATGGACAATTGGGTTCGGTGATAACACAGTTATCATCTCTGGGCTTTAGTTTAGTTATCATCTCATGGTGCGAACCTTGCACCCCCTAAAACCATAAATACACCAATTTGTTGTCTCCTTACGAATCCAACAATAATAAAGTTATAAAATTTAATTTAATCAAGGAACGCTACGATAAGTGAACTATTGGTCATCACAAGTATACCACCTTATTAGAGTTCGATATATTTGAAAAAGGTTATCTACATGACTATATTTCGTTACTTATCAACAAAATTAAGGCAAATACGTATGATGAGTTCTTGGATTTTATTGCTGAAAGAAAAGAGCTTTTTATAAATGATTGTACACTTTTGAATTCCCGAGTTCTAGACTAAAGTTGTAATGAAACGATAAGAACCAATATCCATATCTAAGATTATAGTTTCTAATTTGAAAGATATTTGTTTGCCAGCGACAATTTTGTGCCGTTAATGTCCTTAACGAAACAATGGGTTTGGAAGCCGTTATGTTATTCTACGACTTTTCCATAGACATATGATTTGTTTCTGAACCAGTAAGAATGTAACAATGTTACTATTTTAACAGATGTTTTCATTATGATATCAAAAAAAAATTGAAAAATTAGTAGATTTTTGCCGTTTCTGGAACAGAGCAATTCTAATTGTTGGATATATGTACGTGCCTACACTATTTATATAAAAGATCCATTTCAAATATTTTTGATCACAGATTGTACAATACAATTTTCAGAGCACAGTACAAATCCGAAATCGAAATTAAGACCTATGTGTACCATCCATATAATTCTTGGTTATTTGTTTATCAGCTCCAAAGGACAAAATTACCAAATAGATTATATCCAATTCCCTACAACAATGGTCTAATTTAGTTTAGAAATAGTGCTTAAATTTTTTAAACTCAATATTGTGAATACCTAAATATCATCTGATCTTCGAATAATTTTGATGAAGTCTTTAAATTTAAAGCATTTTGGAATTGGCAAACGTAAAAAATACAACCTTTAATAAGATTTGAGGGAGGGAGAATAAAAGTTTCCACAAATTTAAATTAGGACTTAATCCTTTCAAATATCAAAATTTAAAAATATATTTTTCCTATCATATGTTATTATTTGACTCAAAATTACAACCTCCAAATAAGAAGTGACTTCTAACTTAAAATATCCAGCTGTCAGCACTTTTAATTTGATACATGAACAATTGAGATCGATTGTAGCAGAAAGGTTAAAGGTGATAACACATTAACAGTTTGGTATCATGACACGGGTTATAAATGTCGAAACTGACTTATTTAGAGTATATTTTTTGTATGGTTTCATGTCGATGGGGACGTTCATAGGGCTTGCCTTAACCTCTTCGAAGAAGTCCCGTTAGAGATTTTGTGTTGTTAAAGAAATTAAAACCTTGCCTATTTTTATCATTAAAATTGCAATGCCAGCAAAATTTTTTTCACAGAAGGCCTAATAATCTGATAATCTACCCCTCTAATCATTCAGTCAAGTAAAAGAACTAATTTTTATTTACTTCATCCCATAGTTGGAAAGCCAGTGGCAAATGTTTTGAGCAGCACTGTATAACTTTTAAAAGTTGAAGATAAGAGAATAACATAATTAAATCTCACCACTACGATTCTGAGAAGCGAGAGAGCACGGTATAAAAGCGAGCTGAGGTGGTTGTTTGGACGTTATTATTCAGTTGTCACTCTTCGAGGTTGGTGTTTTTCGTTTCCACGCTCTCAAGAACTAATAAATATTAAAAAATGGCCTGCTGGGAAGGAAAGAAATACAAATTGGACAAAAGCGAAAACTTCGATGAATACATGAAGGAATTGGGTAAGTGCTCACATGACTCAGAAAGGAAGTTGCTTCTTATCAGTGACCGCGTTTCGACAAATATAATTTGGAGGACTTAGCGATGCCTTTAAACTTGGTTTTGTGCAAACAGTAAATTTTACAAAAGTTAAAAAGGTACAGCCTCTGCTTGGCCTTTGGTGTCAGGTTGTTGTGCGCGCGCTGACAGTCCGTCTGTTCGCCGGCCGGCCGGCATTTGTAGCAATTAGAAAACAAATACCAAACCGGTTTCTGTTCTGCTGCTCTTCCATCTCTGCATGGACCGTTAAACGTCCATTGTTAATGGACTTGATGGGACGATGTTGCGTGACACAACACATCACACATCGGTTTCTGGTCTATTGCCAAAAACAAGTTGACGCTAATCACCCATGGCAATAGCCAAAGTACAATTTGGATAACTCAAATTCGGTACAAAGTTCATGGACTGATTTTTGTGGTGAGACCGAAACCACTACCACTTTCTTTGTGTACATTTTTTATTGCACCAAAGTCCATTTGAGTTGCCTGTGCATTTTTTTTCGCTTGATAGGGCACAAGCAAATAGAGCTTTTTCTCTTATCAGAGAAAATTTTTTAAATTTGCAGTTCGTCGTTTTCTTTTTTTTTGGACTTTGGATTTTTTTTGTTTGTTTGTCTTATATTTTTAGAGATGTCCAAAAATTCATTGCAAACATACACATCTAAACGTTTGTATGTAGGTATACATAAGAATTCATCTGTGCAATGTTTCGAGTCAGAAAGTTAGCCTACCAGCAATTTTCCTTATCGGCTGTCTGTATTTGCACATATGTATATACATCTGGTTTTGTTTCAATGTAGGTACCTATAAGGAGTGCTTATCTATATATTGCATAAAATGAAATTCGTTATCTCGATTTCGAGCGTTAAATTGGCAAAAACAGGAACGCAAAGTGTGAATCGTCGAAATAAACAATAATTTGTGAAGAGAGCCAGGTTGTGTTATTTTGTTATCGGAACTTCTCAATAAAGTTTCGAATTTCTTTAAATCAATTGAAGCCAATTAAGCTTTTCTTTTTGATCTTAATTGAGTCTCGTCTCAATTTATTTATCGACCACCACAATTTCCCACCTTTGCGTCTTTTGATATATATACACATTTTTTATGTTTTGTTCGTGACACCGCCGCACAAAGATCATGCCATATTTCCATTGTGGTATGTATGTATGTCAACGGCAACAATAAGTCGACATGCTGACATGCTGTAACCAACAAACACACCACTGTTGTGCATCGCCGCTTTTGTTTGGTTGAGTATGTACGATTTGTGGGTACTTAATGGATCTTCCCCATCACGTTTAATTTATTTAAGTTTAATAAATTGATGACAACCGGTCAAAAGAATCATGGCTTTCCCGATCCACTTCAGAATTCTTGAAATAATTTAACAACACAATGTGGGAATGAATGCTGCGTGTGGACTGCATATCAACTGTACTTTTCTTTTAGTGAAAAGGAATGTGCAATCTCAGCAGTACCATGGAAACGGTAAAAAACTGACTCATTTTATACAGTTAATAAAGATAACCGCAGGCACAAACATAACTTGTAAGGTTTCATTTTATATACCTATATATGTAGGAGTGGCCGCATATACATACAGGGCATAGTGTATTTATTTAATCAATTGTACAATTTAATTGTACTAAACCAAGCGTTCTGCTGGGAAATGTGTGTTAGCGAGCCATTATGAATACCACGAGCTCAAAATAATTAAATCTTTAAAAGGTGTAGCCCGTTTATGTCGTTTGCCAAGTAGGTATTTATTGAGAATGAATGTCAACGCTCAAGACTGTCATTACATGTTTGCAATTACACATACACTTGCCAATTACAAGAAGGCTTAGCTATTTCCTGTGTTCTTGAATTGTATTGTTGAAGAAGGCAGGAAATGCATATCTGCTGTTACATCTGAAACAGATATTCATTCAATAACTACATAGTGAATTATCCTGGGCGTTTATATTCCGCTTTATCGGGGTATATTTTTATTTTAATTTGAAAACCACTGAATACCCTAATATGTCCTTTTTTCAACTCATTGACCTGTTTTACAGGTGTTGGTATGGTCCTCCGCAAGATGGGCAACACCGTTACCCCCACTGTCGAATTGAAGAAGGACGGTGATCTCTATACTTTCACCACTACTTCAACTTTCAAGACATCCAGCATTTCCTTCAAGTTGGGTGAGGAATTCGATGAAGAAACTTTGGATGGCCGCAAAGTCAAGTCTGTTTGCACCATGGATGGAAATACTTTGACCCAAGAACAAAAAGGCGAAAAGCCATCCACCATTGTTCGTGAGTTTTCCGACAGCGAATTGATCACCGTAAGTAGTGCCTTCACAGCACGTCGTCTTGCAAATATTGAATTTCTTTTTTTTAGACTCTTACCATTGGTGACATCAAATCCGTTCGTGTATACAAGGCTATTTAAATTTAACAACTTGAAAATGTCCTTCATCGGAAAGTGGACCTTTGGCGACTGATTTCATTTCCATTTGTTTTTGTTTAAGCTTCAACTAACAATTGTTATTACATAACAATATTTTTTTGTATTAAGACCATTGTAAAATTAATGTTTGCATTAATAAAAAAGAAAAAACTATTTAAATCTTGATTTAATAAATAAAAGACATACGTTGCCATAATAAACGGTGGTGACATAAAAGATTTTCCCTATTTTATATGACAGTACGTAGGTCTGAATAAATAAAATTTTACTTCGAAGTTTAGTTCTAGATTTCCCTAAATCAGTTTATTCCACTTATGCGACATACATGATATGCATCATATATGTCTATTCTCGCTCATGCCATAAAATCAAATAAATTTTAGATAACATTTTGAAGCAATTTTAATATGAAATTTCCAAAGATGTGAGTTAAAGCGTCAAATAATACAAAATTGTGAGGGACACGTATTGGTCCCTTTGGGCAGAATTGCATGAAAGGTAGGTAAGACGAATATCTATCATTTATAATATTGTTGTATTAAAATCAAAATATATGACTGTTTTAAAGCAACTAGGGGTGACATCAGTCGACCGCAGAATTTCTCTAGCAGGAATATTGTTCTATCCTTTTTTTGTTGGTGTAAAATGTAAACATTCGAAATGAAGCTCATGACATTTTGAAATGTCATAACTATACGAAATGGAAGTGTTTCGAATCATGCGCAATGGTAGCATGAATCAGTCGTTCATTAAATTTTTACAGATTAACTCAATATTTTCACAGCACCGGTCACCTGTAAACTGTCCTCAAATAATATTTACAGATTTTCGGCTATGAATATTGGCAAATCTTTATAATGTTATATAACATAAAACATATACAAATAAATCTACATGCATAAATAAATACAATACATGTGTTATCTAATATTGGTTTCCGTTTTTAGTCGACTTGTTAAAACAATAGCATACTTTTAGGCAGTTATCTTTATTAATATAAACTTAAGCGAACATAAGTTGCGCTGTCTAAAAGCCTGCTATTACTTTTGCCGACGAATTCGATTGAAAAGAGATAACAGTGTGAGATATCACAATATTTCCTATTATTTATTTAAGTCTTTTTACTTGCCAGTATTCATGTTTCTGATATCGCGACAAATTGCAGTGACTGAAAATCACTATTTATATTATAGTTACAACACGACATGAGTAGCAGAACAAACTGTTACAATCCATTCCAACAAAGGTATTGGATGGCCGACCGTGGTGCTGCAGCAGCAGCCAGTGGAGGGGGCGGAGGACTTAAGGGTATAATAGCAGGCGGCATAACAGGTGGTATCGAAATCTGTATAACCTATCCGACAGAATATGTGAAAACTCAGTTGCAATTGGATGAGAAGGGTAAATGAAGATAAGATAGTGTTCTTTGCAACCCAACCACTTGTAATTTTTTCTAGGCACGCAGAAGAAATACAAAGGCATTGTGGACTGTGTCCGACAGACAGTCAGTCAAAGAGGTGTAGTTGGTCTTTATCGTGGCTTAAGTGTGCTCATATATGGCAGCATACCTAAATCGGCAGCTAGGTTTGTATGCAACATTTTTTGGCTTTTGATGTAAATATTCGCAATGGTTCATAGATTTGGAGCCTTTGAAAGCCTCAAAAATGTAATGAAGAATGAACAGGGACAGTTGAATAGCAGTGCCAAACTTTTAAGCGGATTAGGTGCCGGAGTCTGTGAAGCAGTCTTTGCTGTAACACCAATGGAAACCATAAAAGTAAAGTTCATCAATGATCAGCGAAGCCCTAATCCACGCTACAAAGGCTTCGTCCATGGCGTGGGATGTATTATAAAAGCTGAAGGTAGGAAAACTTTGAAAGTAATTTTGCTATTACTAATCCAATTTATGCTTTCCTAGGAATCGGAGGCATTTATAAGGGCTTAACACCTACAATTCTTAAACAGGGCTCGAATCAAGCTATCCGTTTCTATGTTCTTCTGTCTCTGAAGGACCTTTACACCGGTAATAACAACAATAAATCTGTGCCAAAACCTCTTGTAGGGATTTTTGGGGCCATCGCTGGAGCCGCCTCGGTTTTCTGCAATACTCCTTTGGATGTCGTAAAAACCCGAATGCAAGGCCTAGAGGCATCCAAATATCTTAATACATTTGACTGTGCAGTAAAAATACTGAAGAAAGAGGGACTTTCTGCATTTTACAAAGGAACTGTGCCTCGCCTGGGTCGAGTTTGTCTTGATGTCGGCATCACATTCATGATATACGACTCCTTCATGGATCTTTTTAACAAGGTTTTTACGAAAATCTAAATCCGACCGAACGAACTCACCTGAATATGATCTATCCTATTTTTAAATCCAATATATTCGAAATATTTTTGTATTATTTAATTGTATTTCTGTGAATGTGCATCTACAATGTTTAGTTGTTTCAGAAAATATATACACACATCAAAGCAACGAACTATAGTGTGCCAAAACTACTTGAAATTTGGTGACTTGTGCTGCTTACATTAATATAGTATTTGGTTTTATGCCACTGGTAAAACCAATACTTTTATTTATTTACTTATTTCACAATGTGCAGTTCAAAGTTCCCACATATTGCAATCAAAAGGTGTATGTTAGTAGCTCTTATTTTCCTATACTTTTAGGTTCACATTTATTTTTTTAAGGCTGAACTGTTTTGAAGTCAAGGCTTCGATCCAATGTCAACTGACCTATGATAGACCTAACTACCTACTAGTGTACCCCAAAAGGTTTGTTCTGTCTCATTGTTATCACAAAGGAGATTAATATCCTACACGAGATATTTGAATCAATTCTATAAAGCAACGATCGTTTTGCGTGTCCGTCTTTGCCCTCAAAGCATTTTTGAGTACCCCCCAATTTGAATTACTCACCTCTGTTTGTAGGGAGAGGGAGAGAGCTATGTACGATGTGTTTTCATGTACTATGCTGGTTCATTCCAGCCCCACTTCCTTACCTCTTTGCTCTTAACTCTCCCGACAACAACACTGATGACGTAGTTAGCAAATGCTCCCACAAATATACCCATTTACTAACAACATACAAGGCTGGCTATGTGTGGTACACTCATTGATTCGCTGTGGCTGCTTGGATGGCCACTAGTTTGGTTCGTTTGTGTTTTGTTTGCTTAGTTATATTACTGTATTGACTGAAAGAGAGTCAGTAAACGTTTGGTTTTTATTTTGGCTCTCCAAAATAGGTTGGAAATTGGAATTGACTTGGTGATGGTAGTAGTTGCTAATTGACACCGCATCGTACGACTGCGTTTCCTCAGCCAGAGACTGGCAGTTTGGCCCTGTTTTGCAATTCATAATAGAAATAGACGTGATACGATCGTGGTGCCTCCAATCAATTGCCGTCGTATATCGAAAAAAAAATTATTTGAAATAAGCTAACGACAAATTTCTCTTGGAAGTAAGAATCGAAATGAAAAGGAAAATCACAAATACCTCTAAATTTTGCATATAATCTGAACTTGTAGTATCAACATTTGGTGTATTTAACCTTAACCGTGAAAATTGATTCGGGAGAGTTTATTATTGACATATCTACTTGCCAATACACTAGTGTATACTCATCATGATATCCCCATCGCTCTGCGAAATGATATAAACAAACGATATGGAAAATACTCAGACTGGAAGACAATACTCTCTTCGCCAAGTCCGCCATAAATTATATAAGAGATGTCTGATTGTGTGTGTGTATGAAGTGTTTATGACATAATTATAAAACGTTTTGGGCAAGCAGATTAATTCGGACTCTTTCGACCGCAAATGTCTTATCATTGAGTGCATAGATTATATCAACCGACGGTAGCCCAGGGTTCTGATTATTATTAAGCATTAAATATGTAAACTTTCCATGCCGCGCATACATACAAATGCGCGGTGTTGTTTTTGTAATGCTCACTTAATCATGATCGTTCGAATTCAACTACATATGCGAATAATAAAACACCCAATTTGTTAATTGAAATAGAAAACATGGTGCGACTTTGGAACTCGGTCCTAATAGAAGTTTTCTATATAGATTAACTTGTCAAATCAAAAGTTTTTTCAAAGATTATCGTCTGTAGATAAGAATTGCTGCCAAAATACGCAAGTCTGCCAAAAATATCGTTATGTTGAGTTATTGGAATATTTGCAAAGAGGAAAACAGTGTCGAGTAAAAGTTTGGTAAAGACTTGAGGTGAATTTAAGAAGAAAGTATGGCAGTACAAACATTTTCAATTACCCACCCACATATTCTATTCAATTTAAAATTATCACATAATTAAATCTAACAAAAGCAATGTTCACATGTTTTTTGATTGATTACAGCTTTTCATTATGGTGTCCGTCTTTTATCAAAGCTATGCTGGAAATTAATTGCCTTTTATTGCCAAAACAAAATTAACCACATCGATCCCATGGCAGACGAAGTAGGAAGTATTCAAACCGACATTTCATATGACAAGTGGATGTAAACATAACGTAGAATATATTCCTTCTCTTATTTAGTAATTATTAACACAAAAATGAAGAAAATTGTAGCGAAAGAAGGGATGTGAAACAATATAAAAAGGAAAACAACTATCTGATTTTCTAGGAATATTTCAAACATTTTCCTTAACATTTCACAAAAACCAGAACTGAAGTGCCTGGGGAACATATAACCATGACACCGACGAAAAGTAATCCGGTATTAGCGTTACAATCTACGACTAATAATTGCATTAGAGTCTCGAAACTGATTTTCAATTTGATACGTTTTGTTATAATCCTAAAGCATTTCACAAAATGGGTCTTGTAAAATGTCATAGTATAACAAATTTACATTTGGATGGTGTTTAAATATGCACCAATATTCAAATTAAACCTGTATATTTATATCACGACTTTCTCTTTGTCAAACCGAGAGACATATGTGGGCTATTATCTTCTACTTTTTAAATCAATCGAAACAGGCGATAAGCACATATCGTCTGTGGCGCAGAAAAAGCCGTAAGCAACATTTTAAAAACTATTCATGAAAAAGATAATTATTTAAAAAAAGCTAATGGGATTTTTCTTTAACTTATATGTAAATGGAATATATTTTGTTTTTTTTTACTATTTTGTTGTTTTTTTTTAATTATATATTTTTTGGTAAATTGTTATTCATATTAAGGCCATGGTAGAACTAAGAAGGTAGGCTACGCAATCATATGATTACATTTTTTTTCAAAATTATTCAGTTGACAACATCTTATTGTCAAAATTAATATTTACAAATTAATTGTATACCCACAAATCAGAGATGGGAACCTGTTTTTATAAAGTGAAATTTGACAAGGTAAGTTACAGAAAATGCAGAGGTGGGATTGCTTATTTGAAATGACTTTACCTTTTTAATTTTACCATAATTATGGCTATAATCGTAAAGTAGTTTACTTTAAGTTGTTTTGTGTGACTTAGAATACAGTAAATTAAACCATCGCATTTGTAAGGGACCCCATATCATATGGCGAACCTGGAGACGGTTACATTTCCTCTGTTATATTAGTAAATTATAATTCTGCTTTGATAAAACTTAGATTACGACTTTTCAGGGAGTTGCAGACGATATTTATTTACTTATAGTTTTTGGAACATCTTTTGTACGTACTGAGATTATAATTGCTGTCATATATTTTTAGTTTCCAGAACATAACAACATATAAGTATGGATCGTCCCATTAGCGCTTTTGTTAATCCTTTCGGCCAGCGTCCATGGATGGCACAGACTGGCGCCGCTGCCCCCAGTGGCGGTGGAAAGGGTTTGAAGGGAATCATTGCAGGCGGCATAACCGGAGGCATTGAAATCTGCATTACTTATCCAACTGAGTATGTGAAGACACAACTACAGCTCGACGAGAAGGGTGTCAATAAGCAATACAACGGAATTGGAGACTGTATCAAGAAAACAATACAACAAAGAGGATTTTTCGGATTATATCGTGGCTTAAGTGTGCTGCTCTATGGCAGTATCCCAAAATCTGCGGCAAGGTAAAGTTTAGAACGCACTTCTTAAAAGGTCAATAATTTCTACGTAACGAAATTTCCTTAGATTTGGTGCATTCGAAACTCTTAAAGGATACATGGTAGATGAAAATGGCCAATTGAGTGCATCGGGTAAACTACTAGCTGGTTTAGGAGCCGGTGTATGTGAGGCTGTGTTGGCTGTTACTCCAATGGAGACAATCAAAGTAAAATTCATTAATGACCAACGCAGTGCCAAGCCCCAATATAAGGGATTTGCCCATGGTGTTGGTTGCATTATCAAAGCGGAAGGTAAGTTCACAGTTGATACCAATATTTTTAGTTCGCAGAGAAAAATGTTCTTGTCGGGAATAAAGCAAAAGCATTTTAACAAGATTTTTTAAAAGGCTAAGTTTTTGACAAATACTAATTGCTTCTATTGCGATCTCGGTTTTAAAGACATAATCACAAACTTTTATTAAAATATATAACTTTACTAAACTATAAGAAAAATTAGAAAAAAGGAAAAGAGATGTGTGGTTGCTGCCAGGCCGTAAGTCGTTTTGTTGATTTGCGTTTTAAACAGAAACGCCAAAATAAAATCAAAAATCTTTTTTTTTACACAAAAAACACGATCTATGTATATGTGTTCGGACTTTTTTTGACCATGCACCATGAACATTTTAATTCAAGTTTCATATTATAAAAAGGACTTTTCGGTTTCAAAGAATAGGTTACCTATACAAAAAATTAATTTTACTAGAACCTTTAGCCTGCTTTTTAAGCAAGTGCATCCTGGGAACCACATTCTAATTAAAAAATCTAAAAATGCATTTTAAGTTTTAACTTAACGAATCCTGGATGAGCTATTTAATTCTATAATAGAGAAAGAACTTAATTCTCTCCGCTGTATTTCGAAATGTAGGCGGGTTTTTGCTATTTCTCACGAAACAGGACCGCGGCTACCGAAAAAGGCCACAAACAACGTCTGTCAGTAGATGTTCGCGTCAATAAGCATAATCACACAAATTATTATTTTATTATATATAGAAACAAAAGTTGACACTAAACATTTATGTTCATTTTACAGGTATAACCGGAATTTACAAAGGTGTTACGCCTACAATTTTAAAACAGGGCTCCAATCAAGCCATTCGTTTCTACGTCATGGAATCCCTCAAAGATCTGTACAAGGGCGATGATAAGAACAAGCATGTTCCTAAATTGGTGGTTGGTGCTTTCGGTGCCATCGCCGGTGCTGCTTCAGTATTTGGCAACACGCCACTGGACGTCGTGAAGACTCGTATGCAAGGTCTAGAAGCAGCTAAATACAAGAATACAGCCGATTGTGCCATGAAGATTTGGAAGAACGAAGGATTCAGCGCGTTCTACAAGGGAACAGTGCCTCGCTTGAGTCGTGTATGCTTGGACGTGGCCATTACCTTCATGATTTATGACTCCTTCATGGACCTCTTCAACAAAATATGGAAGGAATAAATCTAAACCGAACAAATGTCATGACCCTAGGAAAGTCCCCTCTGTAAATAGATACGCATGCGAATTTGTAAATGTATTGACTGACCACTCGAACTTATGTACACCATGGCAACTTTAGATTGTACAGAGCTGTACCAATTGTGTTTTACTCAAGTCTTTCGGAATTTCTCCTCTTCTTTCAAATGACTACGACTACGACATAATTTTAGCACAATCTTACTTAACTGAAAAGTATATTGTATTGCATTTAATTGAAAACGATTTTGCGTTTGTTTGTAGTTTATTGTTTTTAATTAATTATACACTCCGAGAGATACATAATACATTATCATAGATATACAAATAATAAAAACACGTTGTGGAAACAAAAGACGGAGGCGAGAATTGTTTTCAATTTAAAAGAGTCGAAATAATTGTTACCAATTTAAAATGCCTGCATCTAAAGCTCGAAAAGGGAAGGAAATATTTAGATCAACGCAGTACAAAGTATGGTGTACATTCTACTAGTTCTTGTTATTGTATAAATTGGGACAAGACATATCTTTGGATTTAATTTTTGATTACGTGTGTGTGGGGTAGAGAGTCAACACGAACAATAATATAACTTGGGCAATAAGACAGAAATTTGGTTATATACATAAAGTTTTTTTTTTTTTTATCAAATTAAGCTATAGCTGGCCGCTGTAGTCTATCGTATAACGTTCAATGGAATCGTTGAGTGTTTGCTGCATAGGATTCTTCCGATTTTCTCCTCTAAGGTTTTACTTAGCTCATGCCATGTACATTTTCCGATTAATGAAACTTCTTCGAGCGGTGGCCTAAACACTACTAGGACGTTCAAACAAATGCCGTCAGTGGTATGTGGCGGAGGAGAAGGACAATGCTCTACACTTAGTATCCCATGAGGACGATGCTGGGGAAGTTCGGCTCCAAAAAGTTCTACCATAAACTTTCGCAAAGTTGAATGTAGGCTGCGCTGGGGGTGCACTTCCACCGTGGGAAAATGATGGACATTTTTCTCGCTTACCAGCACGTTTAATGCATTGGTGGCGCGCTTTCTGATCACTGCCACCACACGCAAATAGTTTTTGTGATGTGAGTATTTAGATGGCAGCACTTCACTATGCCACAAAACAGGTTGAGCAGACTCATGACGGTTGATGTAGGACTTGCCTATTTCAATAATGTTCAGGATATCGTTAGATCTGAGTGGCAGCTCTTGTATATTTTGTATCCATTTCGCTTGCAACGATTCACTGTCTGCTTGGGCGGGGGTCTTCAAGATGCCACCTGTAACTATTCCCGTTAATACAAATCGAAACCATGATCCACCTGCTGCTTCTATTGCCAAAAGCGTCGTTATTTTACAATTGAGCCCCGTCTCCTCAAACACCTCCCTTACAGCTGCCTCGCAAATCGACTCATTCTTTTCCATGCGACCTGCTGGTAGATACCATTTCCCTGTTGAGTTGAAAAAACGTAATTAAAAGAGATTCGCCACACATAAATTTTTTCAGTTTGCATACCTGCACAGGATTGTTTGGCTTCCTGCATTGCCAGCACTTCGTTATTCTCATTGAAAAGAACACAGGCCACAATATATGTAACAGTTTTCCCAATCACTGGTATAAAATCGGAGGAAGCCGTTGGCTGAATGCCTTGGGCTTCAGCCGTTGCATTTTGTTCTTCCAAAGAAAAGTCACATAATTCCTGTGTAATGTCACCTAGGTCCTGTCCAGCTATTAAGCTCAATAGCTTTTGTTCGATTGACGGCAATCCATTTGTCTGAGGCATCTTCACTCAATGAACGATTGGGTTCGATCTGGGGAGAGATAATAAGCGTGGATTTGTACTTCTACTCAACTATTCATTCCAACTTCATGTAAAATAGCCCTCTCTCCAAAAGTACAACAACAATAGTCACTCACCACCACTCAATGTATATGGGTATGTATGTAGGCGTGAGAAAAAAACACTTGAATAGCTTTAATTCTAAGTTATGCGAAAGAATGTTCACAAAATTTCATTGATTCGAGGAGCACTGCTTACACGGTAATTGGTTCAACCGAGGAAAACAATATTTATGATGTTTTAGTGCATTTTACAGAGCAATGACTACCACGTTTTTCATTCTTTCCTATAAGCAAATCTTTGGAATGGAATACAGGTATGTAGAAATATACAAACGAAACATTAGGTCGTTGCTTTGGAATGCGGTTTGGCCAATTGTTTTCTTTTTGTCTTGTTTCTTGTTTTGTAGACAACCACACTGACGAACAAACACAAGTAAACTCAAACTATTGTGCGATTTTTATGAACTCTCATGTCTCGCGTTGTTCGACTGCCTTTCTCTGTTCTTAAGAATGATTGAATGTTTCTGCAAAATCCATAATAAAAGACTGTCGAAGCGTTGTCGTTTTAAGCTGGTAAAAGTTTCGCGTGACACGGCCGAATGTTGAAATGAAACTGTTTCGGATTGAACCGTCTTAACCAATTCTGAGTCTCGAAGCTTGTACACATGCGCAAGACACTGCAGGAGCATTAGGAGGGGAGTGCCTTGAGAGTTTCTTCAATAGAGCATAATATTAATAATGAAACACTGACAGTAACAGTAGTGGTAGTAGTAGTAAATAGTAACATCTTACAGACGACGCAGAGTAAATGTGTGGTATGCAATGGCCCGACCAGACCTGACTAGGCAACGGTTACAGGTGGTATATTATCACTGGTTTGACTTGTTTGCTTTGGCGGTCGCTGACTAAACAACACACAAAAGCTATAAATGCTGGTAGTTTACATCTCATCCAGATTGATATAATTAGAAAGTATCGTCTCGATTTTCCGAACCATCGCAAATACTAATCAATGAGATAAAAGCACAAAGAAAACCAGTTTTTTCTTGTAAATTCAAGTTCATGAAAAAGCGGACACAATTTATGTTTTCCTTTCTCTTTCGATGATATTGAACTGCTCTCAATTTTATATTATTAAAACCGAAAACAAAAAAATGGAAACCAGTCGTGGAAGAAATTTATTGAGAAGAAAAGCCTCCGCAGTGTTTTGAATATACCGATTAACAACCAAAACAAAAAATGCCTACAATTTTAAAGGTTAGTTCTGGGTCATGTTTATTAAACTAAATTGTCTGAATAGCGGCCAGTAAATATTTAAGAAATTCCCAACGCTGCAAAATTAAACTCTTGCAGTGTCTGGAGCAGACAATTACCAATTCACTTTTTTACAAATACAAATTTAGATGAATGAACGCTATTGAATCGCACATGTACATATTCGTTTAGTATAGTTTGTTTTTTGTCGTACAAAATATATATAACGACCTAAAATATTTAAGTTCCACATGTACAAGTCATTGAAATAGAGTAATATAAATTCTGGAAATTTTCTTATCGTGTATACTTACTTGACGATATCTAGATTGACAATGTGCGTTCGGCGTTGTTTTTTTTTTTTTTTTTGACTTAATAAATCTCAATCCAATCTCACATAAATAAATTCCCAGCAATTAGGTATACGTCATCCATGACTGACACTTCTACCCTATTAAATATGTCTTGGGTCTAATATGTGCGATCTCAAATAGTAGCTTACACTCCACCCTTTCCAAAATGGTACCATATGTGGATATATTTTCCGGTATCGAATTATGTTTATTCTATTTCTATGCATTGTTTATTTAACTTTAAGTCCTTTTTATTGCAGAGGTTTGCTATTTCCTCCTCCGGGGTGCGGCTGCCCGAACTAAAGTTGGTTATATTCAAACGTTTTTCTACCAAATAAAAATACTGATTCGCCTGTTCACACAATAGACGAGTCTGAAATTCCAGCGGAAGAACTCTTTCTCCTCGAAAAGGCGGACTTCCTTTGAAAAATAAATTATGTGGTTGTAAGTAACCCCAAAAGCTTCGTAATAGCACTTGTACCGTTTTGGCTATTCTTAAAATAATAATTATAATGCCAATCAAATCAAATACAAAAAGGAACTTCCAAATAACAATTTCAAAACTATTCGAAAGGGGCTCTATACACAACGCAAACAGCAACACCAAAAGCATTCAGCAAATATGTGCTACAATTTTATGGGCCGATATTCAAAATTTTTCTACGGTGGCGATATCTCATTAGGGGTTGGCCAACTCAACCCTCTCATTACAGTTTTTGTACTAAATTAAAAAAAATTACAATTTTGTATGAAAACGACAAAATATCCTCCTCACATACATACATATACAGGAACGTTGTCTAGTCATTTGGACCCGTGTTGATCAGGCATCTCCTAAGTTTTTGAAAAATTGTTGGTGACTTCAGTGTTGTCATAACGTGCGACTCCTAAATTCAATGACATGGTTATAAAGCATCTTACCACGAACTTTTTAACTACAAAACGTATGTTTCGCTTCGCCAAGCTGGTATGCTCCAAGTCACGGAGTGGTATGCAGTAAAAGTTTTCCATCCATTACATGCCGTTCCGGAACGAATAAGTTTGAGGAAACTATTCTGTAGAGGGAACTATTGGTGAACAAATTTTTGGTTACGTTCTACCATGTCCTCACTGGCGTATTAACAGCTTCGTTTACACTTATAAAATAAAATATATATCTTTAAGTACGGGTCATGTTAGAAAAATACTGGTAGTCGCATCGACACAGCTGCTGGGACAATGAACTGTCAAACTAATTTTGAAATTGGAAATTTGGAATGAAAAGTCATTCAAATTCGTTAAAATCGTCGAAAAATGCATATAAGAAAACATATAAAAACCTACTTATTTTTGAAAAACATTTTAAAATGTTGACATATCAATGTTCCCAAGCGTTGATGCAAAACGCTTGATCTCCTCATAACCGGATTTATTTTAAATCCGGTGCGGAATCTACATAGTGTCATCAAAGCATCAGTGGGTGAAGCATATGTGGCTTCACTCAAAGAAGCAATGTTTCCGCAAAGACATTGATTGCGTTTTGCATTCGAATAATAACAAAAATATATATATATTTCTGCATAATAATACATTCATGCATTTTTTTCTTTGCACAAAGTCATCAATGTGAATAGACACTTATGTTTCAACATCAATTGTATCTTTAGTAGGTTTTTTGGCTTTTTTGAACTCAATTTTGTTTGTTTATGCACACCTTACAAGCATGAGCTGAGCAGCATTTACATACTCCTAAGACGTATCTAAATTGAGAGGTTTTAACCATATGTTCTAACCTTGTTTCCCTGTATCGTGAAGAAAACTAAATAATAATGTAAATTTAACCTCAAATAGGAGTGAATTAAGCGACTATTATAAGTGCTGCCAATAAATAGAGAGTAGAAGCGAGAGAGTGAAAAATCAAAAGTGTTGCCAAGCTAATTCAATTGCTCAAATATAGACTTATAGAGACCTATTTCGTTTCATCTTCGTGCTAAAAATTAATTTCTTAATTTCATACATTTTATAAGAGGATACAACGGGCACAATAAAAAGTGCTTTCAAAACATTTGAACAGCGCACAGCGGGGATTAGAAGGTTGTTTTCTTTAAATAGGAGGGACAATTGTTGGAAATTCTGTGAGAAAATAAAGAAAAGACCGTCGTCTTGCCCGTGCTCTCACACCCCTCCCTCCCTTACCAACACTGTGCGTAGTAAGTTAATGTATACCAACCAACCAACCAATCAGAAAAATAATCATACCTGAAATTCCTCACGAAAGGAACGGAAAATCATAGTCGAAGTGTTTTCCAATAAGAATCTTAGAAACCTGCAAAACAAGAGCCCCCAGCATTGAGTAAAAATTCGGTGGGCCACAACAACAATACAATAAGAAACACCTTAGAGAGAAATGTCAGATATGAATATTGACAGCATTATTTCAAGATTATTAGAAGGTTTGTATTTGCGTGTCTTGCGAAATATGAATGTAACCATGGAATTCACCTCATGATTCTTTTGAACAGTTCGCGGTGCTAGACCTGGTAAGAATGTCCAGTTGTCAGAAAGTGAAATTCGGGGATTGTGCTTAAAGTCCAGGGAAATATTTTTGTCCCAACCTATATTGCTGGAGCTAGAGGCACCGCTTAAAATATGTGGTAAGTTGAAAGATGTTCGATTAATGCAACGTCATTTAAACATATTTTGGAAACTGTATGAAATCTCCTAGGCTGCGGATATGAACTCATTGCAAAAATGTTTAGTAGGGTGTAAAAGTTGTAGTTTTATCGTGGGATTCCCACACGCGGATACGCAGCTTAATAAGTAAGAACTATGTGTGTTTGGAGTTTGTAAATGTCAAGTCAATTGCGAGTACTGTTTCTAGTGTTCCGTACGTAATTTCAAGCGCGATGTTGAAGTTTTTGATTTTTTGTCTGAATGCTCATTTCGGAAATTCTCATTTGTTATCCAATACTGATTTCTAATAACAACATCTTCCTTTTTCGTTCTTTTTAATCATTTATGTTTTTAGGCATGGGTATTTGTGGATTTATTTTTCATGTATTTCAATTTTCGATTATCCTAGGTGACATCCACGGCCAGTACTATGATTTGTTACGTTTGTTCGAGTATGGTGGGTTCCCCCCAGAGTCTAACTACTTGTTTTTGGGGGACTACGTAGACCGCGGTAAACAGTCTTTGGAAACGATATGCTTATTGTTGGCTTATAAAATCAAATACTCGGAGAACTTCTTTTTGCTACGTGGTAATCACGAATGTGCAAGTATTAACAGAATTTATGGGTAAGTTTTAAGTGTCTTGTATTGCGAAAAGTCAGATGACAGTCAACTATTTGCCTCCAACAGTTTTTATGATGAGTGCAAAAGGCGTTACACAATCAAGCTGTGGAAAACATTTACAGATTGCTTCAATTGTCTACCGGTAGCTGCCATTGGTAAGAACAGGGATGAAAGAAGTAATTCTGATATTTATATTAATCCATTCATTTTAGTGGACGAGAAAATATTTTGTTGTCATGGCGGTCTCAGCCCTGATCTTACAACGATGGAACAAATAAGGCGTATTATGCGGCCAACAGATGTTCCCGACCAAGGATTGTTGTGTGATTTGCTTTGGTCAGACCCTGACAAAGATACAATGGGTTGGGGCGAAAATGACCGAGGCGTTAGCTTTACTTTTGGTGCCGAGGTAAAGTCTTGCCTGTTGCGCTTAAATTGTTTATTTGTAATTATGTCAAATGTCTTTGTTTTAGATTGTGGGAAAATTTCTTCAGAAGCATGATTTTGACTTGATCTGCCGTGCACATCAAGTCGTTGAGGATGGATATGAATTCTTTGCCAAGAGGCAATTGGTAACGTTATTTTCCGCACCAAACTACTGTGGTGAATTTGACAATGCAGGTGAGTTGGGAAAACTTACAAAATCTTTTTCAATTGTACATTCAGAGAGAAAATATATATTAATTTATTTTTGTAATTGTTTTCTAGGTGCTATGATGTCGGTGGATGACACTCTTATGTGTTCATTCCAAATTTTGAAACCGGCTGACAAACGACGTTTTGTCTATCCAACATTCGGCAGCTCAGGGCGGCCCCTGACACCACCCAGGGGAGCCAACAATAAAAACAAAAAGAAATAAGTTCAAAGTTCAAAATTCAGATGTCATGTTCAAACCTTACTACGTACCCTGTATGGTTAAATTTACTAAAGCAAAATATACACACCCGCATTATAGTAGAAACACAGACAAACACACACATACATTCATTATAGAGAAGAAAAAAATACATCCTCCGAAACCTTCTGTTCGTTCAAATACTAGAGGTATTTTAGTTTTGTCCGCAAATGTTTGTAAATTTGTCGTTTGGCTAACTAAATTTGAATGATCATATGTCCATATTTTAGCCCCTTTCTTTTTCTCATAAAGTTTACTTCTATATAGAAATATGTGTATTGTATAATTCTTAATTTTAGGATAATTTATTATTTGTTCTATTTTGTTTTGTTTTTATGTCTACTCCCGCCTATTGTGATTAATTATACCTTTCGCTTTTAATCCACCACTTAGGTATCGAGACACGGCGCAATTATTTTTTTTACAATATAATTTAATCACTTACACCAAATACAAGTAAAAATAATAAAATGAAGTAAACACAACAAAAATAAAAGATAAACCATTCTTTATAAATTAAGAAGACAAGAAAAACGAAAATAAATTCAACCGAATGCTACAATATTATATTTGAAATGGATAATTCTCTTAATTTGTCTGAAAATGGCAGGTGAGTCCGTTTTTATACCCTGCTTCATCAGAAACTGAAACCCTATATAAATGTACGTATACATACAAAATTTCTACCAGGGTTAAGACTGATAATTGACCAATCACAATAAAATGTATAGTTCCAGAACTACTAGAGTGTACAATTTTTACTACCATATCCGATTTTCCCTTCATGATATCGAAAAAAATTTCAAGACTAGTAAATTCAGTAACAGAACAAAATGTGGTTATAAAAATCATACGTTTATGGTAATTTTATTGTGTATTTCATAGTCATAGTATTTCATTTTATTTATGTATTTCATAGTCAGTTTTTATGGAGTTTGTTAATTATCAGAGTCAAACCGGACAAAGATTTTTATGTAAACGTACTTTGAGAGGTAGCTTTATTCTCATGGTAGAAGAATACAGGTAGATGCATCCACGCTTGGGAACATTGATATGTCAAAAATGTTAAAATGTTTTTCAAAAATAAATAGATCTTTTTTCTAATTTTTAATTTTTCTTTTACGAAAAGAAACGGAGTTTGTTATAATATCCATTTTTCAAAGATTTTTACTAATTTGAACGATTTTTCACTCAACATTTTCAATCATCATATCGAAAAACTTCAGGTGGGCATAGAAACCACCTGAATATAATTGTTTCTTATGGTTGCCTTCAATGTAGAAGAATATAGGTAGTCGCATCGACATAGCTGCTGGGATATTGAACTGTCAAACCAATTATGCATTGAACATTTGATATTTGAATGAAAAATTATAGAAATTTGTAAAATCTGTTTTAAATGCATTTCATAAGAACCGTCGCATAAGAAAACACATACAACAATCTATTTATTTTTGACAAAACATTTCAAAAATGGTGTCATATCCCATGCGTTGATGCACCTGTATTCTTCTACCGTAGTAGCCTTGTAATGTCATTGTACTGTTTTGAATAATATCCCAAAATATTTCGAAATTGTTAAAATTCTTGTGCCAGAACTGCAAAAATGTAAAAGTTTTCGCTACGATATTAAATCTTTTCCTTTATGATATCGAAGAAAATTGTAAAATTCTGGAAGGAATAAAAATTCAAATTACAGCTTTTGGGTAGAATAAGTGTTTGCGGTTTGGGATAAATGAATTTCAATCATTTGTCGAGGTTTTCTCTTCATTTTTGTAAAGAATGAGTCAAATGAGCAATACAACTTGTTTCAATTGTTTTAGTGAATTTTGAAGTTACAAATCTCAGACTTCAAAGTTGTATTTTTTGAATTAATTCAATCTGCCCTAGCTTGTAATTATTGTACCATGCATACAATTTTCATTTGTTGAAGACATTGAAGGTTCAAAATTAAACATTTCATTCTACGAGATATATGTGTGTGTATGGTGACAAAAAATTTTGTTAATAATTATTTTATAAACTATAAAAACATTTAAGCTGGAACCTTCAAATTCGACCCAAACTTTCAAATTCAAATTCCTTTGGAGTTTCTATAAAATGTCGTGTTACCTTTATTTATATTTTCGTATGAAAGAGCACATGTGTTGAAGTGTTCGCATGGCATATTTTGTGACATATCATAGAGGGATTCAAGAGCCGCACTCGAACAATAATTTGGCATTCAAATGCATATCCATGATGCCAAGCTACTTATGTACCCACACCTTAAGATCTTTCTTACAATTCCGAAGGAACTTACTGAGTTATAGTACGTTTACGTTGGAAATGTTTTAGAAAACCCATACCTCAAATAACCCGAAAAAAAACGAAAAAAAAAACTCTAAATTAAATATGCCTTAAATCTTGCTAAATATATATAAACACGTATCTAATTTCATGTTGTTACACTTTGACATGTCGACATTTTGCGGACAGCCGTTTTCTTGCTGAAATTTACTTGATGTAGTTCGAAGGGGCAAATTTCCTTTTCATGCAGACCAAGGCCAATTTAATAAGGTTACACAGGAGGCGCACTTAAGTCACTTCGAACTGAATTCCACAATGAAAACGATACAGATCATTTTAATTTAAAATTGAAAAATAAAACAGATCATCCTCGCAGCCGATAAGAAACAGTCAAAACATAACTTCCGCTTTTTGTTGTTCTAAAAACATGTCGTACTTGTAAAAGATGTTCGTTCAATTTAACGGTGACTGTCGGTAAAAAACAACAAAACGACTAGCCAACCAGACATGAAAGAATTCAACCTTACAAGTTTCAATGACCAATTACATTACTGGTTACTTCCGTCAAAATAGAACCCAGCAAACAAAACTGTCAGGGTTTGGCGGAATGTTGAAATTGGAATTTATTTGAAAGCTCTAACTGAAATTTGATTTCTTTCTTTTTTTCTCTCTTGCGGTGTATACCCTTGGGCTATGCATACAAACACGGCGAACAACACACACAAAAGGCATTCACAAGAAAAAGAGAAAAACTCTCTTCAGAAAACTGTTTCGTTTCCCTTCAACATTTCGTTTGCTGGGAACACACACTACTTTTTGGCCACTGAGATTGCAACCTAAGTGCCAGAGACGCCGATGATCGATGTGTTCTATGGGATGTGTAACCTGAGCCACAAATTGACTTCTATGCATATAAGTTCAATAAACTTTGCAATATACAACCTAAAAAGGAAGGGCAGCTAGGCGAACAACAAAGGTATGTTATCCATAATACAGATATCTATGATGTACATGCATACACACATGCTTATGCACATACATATTCGTATTTGGCTTTAAGAGCCAACATCCAATTAAGTTGTTTTGTTTTCTTTTAATTTGTGGCTTGCACACATGGGTTAACCGGTTGCCATTGGCCACATGGAACAAGCTTCAACATCATCCAGATTTTTGTCATACTATATAAACAAGCAATCAAACTAGTAGAATATGGGCCAAAGCTCAACAAATAAAAATGCTTTTTGAATGCGTTAATACACTCAAAAAGTTCAGCATGTATATTTTGTATACCCTCAACTTTATGGCTAGAGAAGGTATATAATTTGATACAGCTGAAATGTGCCTCATCGAAATAACGTTTAAAGAGCCTATGTATTGATGGAATTTCCTGAAATTGAGCTGTTTCGGCACATCGTAATTGTTTTTGTAAAATTTTCACATAAATGGTAACACAAAAGTTGGTTTGTTGTAGCGATTCACCGATGCGAGTACCTAATATCTCTACCATGGCCCAAGTATGAGGTCCCCCTTCCAACCAGCTGAATACCAAATGAAGCGCCAAAATATCAAATGAAATGCAGGAGTACCTTGTAATTGCACCATGACATATACCTTGCTGTAATGTACTACTTTTCCAGTTTTCCGATATCATAAAGGGAAAATCGGCTATATTAGTAAAAAACTTTCACATTCTTGCAGTTCTGTAACAGACCAATAATTTGATATGTTTATGCTGGTGCCATCAACATACGTTATATAATAAAATAATTTGTTTGATACTCCGTGAATATCCCGCAAAAACTCGCAAATTAATTAAAAGTGCATTTCATTCAAAAAATAGATGTTTTCTAATTTTTTTTTTTTAATTGATAATTCATACAGGGTGATATAAAAAACTGCAACAAAGTCAAACGCCATAATTTTTATTTTTTTTTATTGTTTTGAATGAAAGCAAAAAATTTCGGAGAAAAAAGTTTAGATTTGTTCGAAGTGATTACCTTTGGCACGAATTATGACCTTCAAACGGCCAATGAAACCGTCACACGCTGCTCGAATGTTGCTCTGCGGTATTTTGGCCCATTTCCGGCAAAGCGCTTGCTTGAGGTGATCCACACTTTGGTATTTTTTAGTGCCAACCTTGCTTTCCAAAATACTCCAGACACAATAGTCCAACGGATTGGTATCCGGAGATTTTGGTGGCCATTGTGCGCTAGAAATGAAGCGAGGAACCTCATTTTGTAACCATTCTTGGGTGGCGCGTGCTGAGTGCGATGGTGCTGAGTCCTGATAGAATATCCAAGGTCTGCGGCCAAAATGTTTGCATCCCTTCATCTTTAATACACCCTTCAGAATATTTTCGCTATAATATTCGGCATTTATTCTGATGCCACGGCCAATGGTGCGATCATTTTGTTTGTTTACAAACTGCTGGACAACGAATGTTTTCTCATCGGAGAAAAGCAAATTCGGCAGTTTTGCACTCTTTTGAGTCTATTTTCTTTCTGTTGGGGTGTAAGTTCTTGCACTTTTTGAAATTTCGATGGCTTTACCCCGAGATCATTTATCAATATTTGCCGAATGGAATATTGCGATGTGTTCAGTTCACGCCATTTCTCGGCCACTGCGACGCGGGTTTCGATCAAGTCGCTTCTTTACTTTTCGAACTATTTCTGCAGATGTTTCTGCTTTCTTCCGTCCACTTCCTGGACGTGGGGCTACACTACCAGTATCAGGGTAATGAGCGATGGTGCGAGACACAAAACATTTATTCACATTTAAATGCTTTTGTACGCTTTCTCACGAAAATGCTTTTCTACGCTTGTTAACAATATAATGAGCTGTCACTGGAATAATTTTAACAGCTGTCGGACGAGTGGCTTAGAAATTACAGCAGTCTAAAGTTGGTTGCAGCTTTTTCATCTCACCCTGTAATTTTGACATTTGTACTTCAGTAATTAAACCACGATTCCGTCGAGTAATAAATCTTCGAATAAAACTAAGCGATTGGTTACAATTGGATGCACATTCCAAGTAATTCTAATTAATGTAACATTTATAGGATCTATACACCACGTACATAGATCCTATAAATGAAAGAATCGGGAACCCATTTTTTTCTCTCTGGGTGTATAAACGTGTGACATGATAAAAACCAAGTTAAGACGGCTTTGCGCTACCATTGATGCATTCAGAAAATTGAAATATGGAGCTCACTTAATTCTACGAGCAGCTTAAAACGTGTAAGCTTTTTTACAGTGTGTGTACGTGTGTGTTCATTCATTCGCTTGGGTAGTTGGCTGGCTGGCTATCTATAGTGGACAACAAACCGCTCACCGATCTCAAACGGCAATATGCACCAGACAGATACACATGTATCTCTGTATGCGAATGCTCTGTCCATTTAACAGGTCGTTCGTGTAAAGTATAAAAGCTCCCATTTGGAGAGCATCTCCACATTATATAGGTAACGTTGAAAGTGATAATAACTTCAGAAATCAAACGTTTTTCATATCATAAGCAGCAAACAAGTCAAGCCGCCAGCTCTGAAAAACAAAAAAGTGGATATTTCGTACAAATTGCAAAAAAGATAACAACAACAACAGTAAAATATAACTCAAAAATGGAGCTGCGCATGCGTTACAGACTGACGCAGCCAACGACGGCTTCCCTCCTGGTTTTGGCTACCACTGCCGTGCTTATGGCAGTGAGCTGCGCTGCAAAAGATTTGCGTAAGTATTCGGTGACTGAGAGTGTGTGTGTGAATGTGTATATGTTTCCATGATAGATTAGGTTTCGCAACAGAATTAAGAAAATCAAATCCGAAATTGCATACCAGACGGTAATAGCACAGCAATGCAATAACGAACGAAGTAATAATAACGTTAAGAAAACCAAACACCAAAGACAGTGATCATCATAAAAATTGTTATGATAAAAATAGTAATAATAATGTCAATATTAAAACCAATAATGATTATAATAGCCCTTTAAAATCCTAATCGGTAAACAAAGAGTTTACGTCTTGAAAGTGCACAAAATAAAATTGCGCTCGATTATGTCGTAAACCCCTGCACTTCAATGCATTTTGAAAAAGTAGATGCGTACGAATCGGCAGACAGAAACAGGCCATTAATTGACATTGCAATTGAAATTGTAAATATCAAAACAATTGTGAATATCAAAACAATTGAGTCTGCGTACTCGATATTTTGTAATAATTTTGACGAAGAATAACGAAACTTTTTACTGCAAAAATTTGTTCGGTACAGTTCAAATTCAGCATAATTTTAATAATCTTTCGATTTTGAAATCGAATTGAAAGTTTTTACTGTCTAAATAAGCATATCAGCCAAATAGTAGATGGTAATCATGATAATATTTTTTTCCACCCAAGTGTAAATGGTTACAAATGGTAAAAAAGAACGCCATCTTTTTGTGATCTCTCTTCATGCTGTCCAAACTTTTACTTGTTTTTCGGGGATGGATTGATAATCACTGTGTTGAAGTTAACAATATTAAAAATAAAACTGTATGGCAACTTTTGGAATTGTTTAGATTTCTCCAAAGAACTTACTGAAAAAATAGTACTGTAAAGCTTATTATTCGAAAGAGAAAATGTGCATTCTTGTTTGAACTTTATATGCCATCAAACTTCCAATCAAAAATCAAAATTCATCCAAAAGAGTTCATACACGTTCATCAAATGTTTGACTCAAATATTGCATCTTAGGATTTTATTAAATTATTGTTTTTCCTTAATATGATCCATTACAGAACTGCAAAATGTGCACTTTGACTTTTTTAGGTTCCGGAACAAAGCTAATTAGCTATTTTTTCGTTTCATGTCAGTTAAGATTATTCAAACTGATAGCAAAATATATACATCGACAGAAGAGTTGGCCGGTACGTAATATAGAAGCAGCCTGATTTTGGTGCTACAAAGATTCCAAATTTTAAGAAAAAAAAAAAAAAAACGGAGATAGGTTTCGCATTTTATTCAAATTTATTTTAAATGAGAGCTCATCCCAAAATAATTTTAAAAGAAAAAACTCGAATTAAGCTTCAGATCGTAATATTTGTACTAAACTCAGGACAGGTATGCAACTGCAATGTCGGATGTGGTTTCTAGCAACAACAAATTGAAGATTCCTCCAATTTCTGAGACAGAACTAACTTTAATTATTGGCTATTGATACAACAACCGGCTTAACTATTTTCAATATGGAAACCAATCCGCTGTTTGTAATTGTTTAGCAGATCTATAAATTCACAGTTCAAAACTTGTTTTTTTAGAGTTTCAATAAAAATATCGAATTCATCTTGTCGTCGTTCAATGTCAAGTTTGAAATACTAGCCAAGCGCAAAGATTAGCCAAAAAAAAAAAAAAACTACATTAAACCAAACATATAATTGGCCTCTAAGGCAACACCAACATAACTAGCGGCTGCTACCATTTCGGATGTGTGAAAACGACATTCGCACATTCAAATGTATATTAACATACATGTATGTATGCGTGTGTATTCTGTTGTTGTTATTATCATTATACCCATTGACGACCGACTATTCACCCCGTCCGTTCGCCTTAAACACTGACCTATCTTAACAATAGCAACAAATGAAGCAAAGCGTAAGAAATAAGGAAATGATTTTCATTGTATAATTTTTAATGGAGTAGGTAAATTTCCAAGAATAATTTTTGTTAAAAAAATTACAGGCACTTTTGTACAAACATACACATGTGTGTCTTAGATTCGTTGAATGCGTAAAAAGTAATTATTTTTTTTAGTCTTATCAAAGATACAACAATTAAAAGAAACTAAAAAATTATTGAGAAATTGTCTCAAAGGAACACACGTGGGGGCAATAACGAGTTCAGAACATAAAATGTATTCGCTATGTGATGTCTGTATCAACGATAAGATTTGTTTATTTCTCCGAAGTAACCTCTATGGCATTGTATTTAAAGCCAGAAAAACAGTCTCAGATAATGCTGTGATTATATTTTCAGAATTATATATAAAAGTTCTCACTCATTACTTGTTTTGTTTTAATTTCCCTTTGAGAGGTACATTTGGTACGTACCATTTTTCCTGATGATCGAAAAAAACGATTTCATACTTTGTATACAGTCAACACCGTTGGCGCCATTTTTTTCTTTTTTTGTGGTAAAGAAAAGGCGATGTCGTATTGGTCGTATTTTGTGATTGTTAAAATTAAAATACATTGCGTATACGTCAAATGCAGTTTCGTGTTAAACGCTTTGATAAGGCAAATACTATGATTTGCAAACCGTAAATTCTCAACAACAACAATGTAAACAGAACTGCACATTTTTAGACGGTGAGTGCCACTGAGTGGGGGTTTACCAATTCTTATTTGTTTTGTTTAATAAATTATGAAATCAATGCAAATATACTAATCGATGTTTAATCATGGATCTCTGAGGTTTAGACTTTAATATCGTAAAATACAGTAGTTTTCCGATTTAACGAACTTCAAAAAATTTTACAATCTGGGGAAAAATTGTACTCGATACAACGAACAAAAACGAAAATTAGGGGGTAGTTTACTGAATGATAGAGTGTGCGAAGCGATGTTGATGTCTATTAACGACGGAATGAGAAAAAGAAAACAATAAGTGTGAATTTGTGCAACAGTAAAAAGCCTATGATATAGAAAAAGGAAAAAAAAACCTACAAGTTCCTAAAATACAAACAAAAATTAAAAAATCTTTTCCGTTGAAGTCATTAAAAATAGAATTGTTTTATTAGACCTCAAAAAACTTGAAAAGGCTATTGTTTTGTTGTAAGATCTTGAATGAGTTTTATTATTATTGAAGTTATTCTTTACAAGCAGGGATGTCAACTGCTCCGACGTTAAAATCGCTACAGATAGGGTTTTTAAAAACCACTACAAATTTCAACTCACTAAGAGCAAAAAACACTATAAACAATTGTAAAAACGTCGGAAATAATCAGTCGTTATGCAGAAAGAGAGAAAATTGAAAAATCGTAAGCTTAATCAACTAATTTATTTGGAAATATCTTTATATCTTTTTAATCCGGCTTGAAAATAAAACAAACAAAAACCCAACAGATAATTCACACAAACAACTGAAACTTGTCAAAAAGAATAACAGATCTCACCCACACATATACATACATACGATTCTCAGTTTATTTCCAACCTCATTTTCTCCTTCATAGAAAGGTTCATTACAAGACCGGCCAGTAGGCCAATCTTTTAACTAAGTCAAATCATAATAGTGAAAAACGTAGTTTTAACCTAAGCCTATAAAAAAGCTTTGCCAGGTTTAACGAATTTTCCAAGTTAACGAACAAATATATTAAATATTATTGAATTTTTTTCGTTTATGTCGCGTGAAATGTCTTTCCCTTTCAGATTCATCTTAATGTCAAGAAATACATCGAAACTTTCAGGCATTTTCACCCACAAACTCCCGATCTTTAATAGATTATTTTTCTTTTTTTCATAGCCGAAGCATTTGACAAATGCAAAAGGGATTCAAATTTTGACAAATGTCTGGTAGATGCTGTAAACAAAGCTATACAAATATTAAAACCTGGTAAGGATAAACATATTTAACAACACAACATTCTTTGATGCATATTTTAATTCTAGGCAATAAAGAATTTGAAGTTCCTGCCCTTGAGCCTCTGCATGTTAAATCGCTGGTCATTGATGCCGGCACCGCACCAATTAATCTGAGGCAAACGTTAAAGAATGTTATGGTGACCGATATGATATCTACCAGCAAAATACAGAGATACAGGTCCGTATTAAGATATGATTATGCAGTGACACCCTTGTATACTAATTTAAACAATAACGTGCTTTCACCTTCCGCAGAACTGATTTAGACAAATATTTGATTATATGTGACAGTTTTACGGGTCGCATACAAATGTTGGGCGATTACGAAATGTCCGGCCGGATACTGTTGCTGCCTATTACAGGCAACGGTCGTGCTAATATAACACTTGTGAATACAAAAATTGAACATCGTTTGATTGGCGAGCCATTCGAGAAGGATGGCGTCCAATATATGCGACTGAAGGAGTATCGAGTATCCTTTGACCCAAAAAGGGTCTACATGCACTTCGAAAATCTGTTCAACGATGCCACATTATCACAGACCATGAATCGGTTTCTGAATGACAACTGGGAGACCGTATTCAATGAATTAAAGGTTGGGTATGCGAAAAGTTTTGGAAGAATATTTCGAGAGATATCGAATAGGTTGTTTGAGAAAATACCCATGGACTCTATATTCCTTAGATAATAGTTCATTGTATTATATGTTAGTCATAAGTAACCTTATCATTTTGTATATGTAGACACTTTTGTCGCGGTGAAAAGATATAAGAAACTAAATTGTATATAATCAATATTGAAACTTAATAAATAAATTCTCATATGTTATTCCTATTTATGGCACACTTATTTATTCTCATTTCAAATAAGGGTATTCACTCCACTGTACTCAACGAAAGTCGATTTACAACGTTAATAAGGAACAAACTTCGTTTAGGGACATCAAGCGAAAAAAAATTACACTTGCATCCAAAGTAGTTATTTTCGTTCGTTTTGCAGAAAACGAGTTCAATATAGATATATATGTACTATGAGAACATAAAAATAATTCATTTAGAACTATTTATTTAAAGCATAAATCATTCTATAAAAAATCTTCACCAAAAAAATTAGGATTTTTCATAAGCCTACAACGCATATTATTGAAATCTAAACTGATTTTAATATCCAAAATATTGAGGACCATAACTCAGGATTTTGGAAAGGATTTTTGAAAAATCGAGTCCAAAAAATCTTGAACCGTTTTTAATAACCCCATAATGTGACCAATTGTCAGTATAGTTATTTTCATAAGCTTTCAATTGATACCAACACACCAAATGCATTGAGAAAAATATTACGAGTACCACAAGCTTATGAACGTGAACCTTAAGCCTGAAAATCTTTAGAAAACATTGAAAAATGTTTGTGTAACAAATATAGAATAATCCAAATTGGACCCTTATTTAAAAGCCTATACTTTTAATTGTAGAATAAGCTTACGAAAGCAATATTTTATTAAGCTTATTTTGTAATAGTATAAAATATTATTTTTTTTTTCATTTTTTAATGATTTTACACATTTCATCCATTGATGGCCATTCCAGCTGTCACTGCCTCATGTGGTCTCTATACCTATACACTTTCTTCTCCCTTCTTTGAAATTCTGTATATCCTCCATTAATAATTCTACACTTCTATTGAATCCACGGCAGAAGAATACAGGTAGATGCATCAACGATTGGGAGCATTGATATGTCAAAAAAATTGAAATATTTTTTAAAATATTAGTAGATTTTTATATGTTTTCTTATACTTAGTCAGAAGGAGGCTATTATAATTCGCATTTTTCAAAAATTTTTGCAAATTTAAATAATTTTTCATTCAACATTTTCAATTCCAAAATTGGTTTGGAAGCAGCTGTTTCGACGCGTCTACCTATATTCTTCTACCATGATTGAATCCCTGAAACTTTATTTATGTCTTCAGTCTGAAATGATATTGAAATAATATATACCACACATTCCCAGATTTATTTTTCATCATCACCTTAAGAATTTGGTTCGAAATGGGTCCTAAATTCGCGTGATTTTACTTTTTTCAAGAAGAAAAAAATTTAGCTGATTTTAACAAATCTAAATTGTTATGATAAGCTATTTTTATAATATTATTCTCAAGCTGTATTGTAGTTTAGGTTTTGTAAGTAATACAAGTTTCAGAGTTATATGTCCAAAAATGAAAACAAAATAATTAATTTTCAATAAATTATTTTAATTTAGAAGAATATAGGTAGATGTCAAAAATTTTAAAATGTTTTATGAAAAAATAAGACCATTCATTTGCGAAAACCGCTAACAATTCGTGAAACTGTTTCTATTGTTGTTTAGTATTGTCATTTCGCTCGATAGTTCGATAAGGAAATCCATGAAACGATAATCCTTTCATAATTATAATATCGATACTATCGACATTTACTTTGATTGTTTGCCAGCTCTACGCAGTTATGTTGTTCTGTTTCGGCTTTGTTTTATCCCGTGTTGTTCGTTTTGATTGTGTATTTCAATAATAATTATTTTATACACAGCAATAAATTAATTAGAGTTGTAGAAGGTGAATAGAACAAAATAATTAAACAACATCGCTGTCGTAAACAATAAAGAATGCGCTGAGAGTTTACGGGGCACAAAAGAACAAAGAAATGAAATCATTTTAAGGTGTTGCAAAGACCACCAAGTGAAAACAACAACAAAACAGACGAAGACGAGGTGAAACTAGATTTTGTTGTTGCTTTTTTATTATTATTCATACCTGTGTTTTGTGCATAAAATACCAAGAATAAAAGGAGAAATCGTTTTGATTTGTCGAGTATCGAAGTGATTTAATAAAATATTAACATATTTCGCAGATACACACTGAGTACTGCGGCAGAAAGAAAACAACAAAACAAACGCCCTCCCTTGAATCGCTGGTTGTTTTTGGTCCACATTATTTGTTTGCATTGATTTTCCTATTTTACCGTGTTTTACATTTGATTATTTGTGTGTGTTTTACGTGGAGGTTGTAGTGCTGTCGAAAGAGAAAGGTGTAGTCGGTATTCGGGTAATACTAATGGCATAAATTGCATATTGCTGTAACAACTAAGAAGTTCCAGCATACATTAGCTAAAATTTAAACGACCCATGGGCATATAGGGAATGAAATTAAATAGATTATTGCGTCGTTGTTTAACCCAGACTATTTCACGACCCAATGAAAGAGTAACCATTGGAAACTTACTGTTGGCCCATTTCCTTCTCCTACTAAATTCGCACTCCGTTTACAAACACTGTTCAGTGTTGCAAGGCAGCGATAAATACGTGTGTGTACTTTATTTATTTTGTGATATGTGCTGTAATCTTCTTGCTCGCAATGAAACAACAAAAAAGAAAGTTTGTCGCTTTCATGCACATCAGTAGTAACGCAAAATTAACAAGCTAAACTCGCCAAAATGGGAATACACATTCGGTTTGGGTAAAATGTGCGTGATTATAGATGTTCCGTATCTATTCAGCAAAAATTCTATTAATTAACAAAATATCCAAAATAAGTCTGCTCGGCTCCCTGGCTATAATTTATGTTTTATAAAGTAGACGTTGTTCGTCCTTACAATGACACTACTTATTATCAATATACATACGTACGTATGTACATATTCATCTCAAAAGTAAAAAAATCTTATACCTACGGCAAGTTTACTACCACTATTTGACTATTTGTCGATGGCTCTCTGAAAAAGCAGTTTCAACTCTTGCACGTTGTTGCTAGTGTTGTGCGGTGGGTGGGCGATAAGTGGGCAAATGTTATTGTTCAAGAAAATGCACAAGACACACACACCAACGCTATACGACGCTTTCAAACTCAACACATAGGCAAAATATAATCGAATTAGTTTGGTTTGTGTCGGCAAATGGAAAAAAGAAACCTTTTCTTGTTGTCTTAGTTTAAGAAATAGGCAAAAATATTCATGCCAAGTTTCCATAGGTTTAGAAGTGTGGAAAGAAAAAAGGCAAGAGGAGTGTACCAAAACGCTATTTTCTGACATTTATTTAGTGCGTGCAGTTAAAATTCCTCTTCTATTCCGTACACAAAAAAACCAAAAAGAAAAATAAAACGATTGCCAATTTGCTCATTTTAAACGCCACACCCACTTATAGGCGCGGTGGGTGGTGTTAATGGCCCCTTTCTTTGTCTTTTGTGGGCGACAGATAAGTCCCCAGCAACGTTGATAACAATCTACTAATTAACTTTTTCCAGCCGAAGGACTAGCGATTAATGTGCAAGCGGCACGCTTTCATGACTGAAATTGGAGCGCTTGTCAAATCACAAGAAATTTTATACTGTAACACACTGAACTAAAGTCGGCTTGTCGGAGGGGAAATGTTCAATTTCATGAAGAAAGGCGTATCTGTGGCCAGCAGTAATGCCAGCGATAGAGAAAAGGCCGAAAGGGAAGAGAAGGAGAAACGAAAACGCGAAAAGAAACTGAGGAAAGATGGAAAGAATGCAGCTGGAGTGTCGGGCAGCATGAGTACAGAGGAGCTGCTTCGACTAGATGAGGTACTGAAAACGATCCACTGCTAATCATTATCACTTAATAGATTACTTGAATATATATGTATATTTGTTGCAGGTCCGGCGGTCCTTGAAGATACGAGGCAGGCGAAAGGAAAAAGAAAAGCTTCCCAGTGGAATAACAGCTGACTACAGCGCGGAATTTTTCGCGGCTTTGAATGCAGACTCGGTTAGTAGTGAGTTGGATCGTGGCAATGAAGAAATTGTAGCATCTGTACATACTACCATTGAGAGCCGGTACAACGGCAATGGAACCCCAACTAGTAAACATTCCATAAGTGAATCCATCACATTCAGCAGTTCAGGAGGCGATTTGGCCAAGGTATCTACTGCCAGTACATTTTATTTCGCCCAAAAATTTAATGTTCTAATTTATTGTTACAGAGCCGTTTTATGCTTCCAGTCCCACCTAAACCCCCGAAACGTGGTATTCTCAAGGGTTCCCGTAGTAATATAAGCAACATTCACGAGGAGATAACAATTGCCTCTCCCGATGCACTCATGCGCAATACAATTCAAAACGAGTTGTTGTTCGATGGTTCTCGGAGCATGGGTGGTGCTGGTTCCATTGGTTCTAGTTCCAGTCAACATGGAACATCGTTTACCTCTGTCGAAAGTTTGCGCAGTGATGAGGGTGGTATACAAAGGGCTATGACACTTCCGACAAATGCACGTTATACCTCGCCACATATACAATCTCATGGGAATCTCCGCGTTTTGACGTCACCGTCGCCAAGCGCAGATAGTCTTACAGATACTACAAATTCCTCATTTGCCACGCCTCCGTTTTCGTTGAGTCCAATTGGAGAATCTCAAGGCATGGAACGTTGGTCTCGAGTTCAGAACTTCGAAGATACCGATCTACCATTGCCCCCCATAAAGCTGGTTAAGCTACCGCCACCGAGAACATTGACCATACGTCGACAGAAGTCGCCACGACAGGATTTTGGTTTTAGTCTACGCAAAGCCATGTGCCTAGACCGCTCAGCATCTCTATCGAATCCGATATTTAAGCCCGTGATCTTCGCCGAGCCTGGTGCCGGTGGTGGTTCTACAGGTCTATTGCCAGGTGACCGTCTACTTAAAGTAAATGGCACATCTGTTTGTGATTTATCGCGTGAAATAATAATCGAAATGATACGGAATAGTGGTGACTCTGTGACAGTAGAAGTATGTCTAACGCCTGCTTATCATATTCAGTACGAAAAATAACGAATATGTTACGTGTTTCTATTCCAGGTTCAACCAGTTTCAGAATTAGTGGAACTAAGTCGACGCTGTATGCCACAGAAGTGCTCTAATGGCGACGACGACGATTCAGATAATTCTCCAACAAATAACGATAACTGCAACACTTTGAAACGTAGTGCAAGTAAACGGATCAAGGTAAGAGGAAAATTTTGTTTTTTTCCAATTGTTTACTGAAATGTTGGCTTATTGCTGGTACAATTCGTTCTTCAGTATCTTGTCCGAATGGCTAATGGCAGTTTCTCTAACTTTTTTTTTTTAAATTAAGAATTCACTGATATATTCAGAAACTGTACATCGATTTGACAGCCAACCTATACTCCGAAAGCACATGCATTTTTATTACGTTTTGTTAGAGTTCAGCGGAGTTCAGTAATCCTTAATGTAAATATATAGTTTTTATTTTTAACGGGACACAAAAAAGATATCTGGCTCGAAAGAGGTATTAGGGTAATTAAAAAGTCAAAGCTGACATGGTGTCGGCAATTATCGTTGAATGGTAAACTGTGACATATGTCTTGGGCAATTCTTAAACTCCAGTTTGCTAACCCAATCCTATTTTTCCAACCACACTGGATGTGAAGGAACTGGGCTGCATATTCTATTAATTGCTTGTTTGGCATGTTCTGTGATCTATTTAATAACTGACTTATTAATTTTAGTTTTTTTTTTTTCGAAAGGAATTATGTGACAAACTGTATATGAACATCCAAGTTTTCGTCGATAGATTGTACAGTTATTGTAATAAGAAAGATAAGATTAGCTTTAAAAAATATATTTTCGATAACTTAAATTGGACTCTATTTATTAAATTTAATAAGATATCTGTCCATATTTTTGTAATCCTATAGAACTAGTATTGATAACAATTTGACAGTAAAGTTAGTAGGTCTTACAGCCTGTTTTTGTAAAAAAAAGTTGCATTCACTCGAATCGTTCGTATTCAAATGTATTCGTTTTAATTTGGGTTTTTATATACATTTTAAAAGCGCACGTCCATTTCCCAAAAGCTTTAATATGTCAGTGTTTTCGTAAAATTTATTTAGTTAAGATTTTGATTTACAGCTTGTTTTGTAAAAAAACTTGCTTTCACTCTAATCGTCCGTGTTCAAACGTATTCGTTTTAATTTGGGTTTTTATTTGGAAGCTCTCGCCCATTCTAGAAAAGCTTTGATATGTCAGTGTTTCCATAACCATTATTTTTTTAAAATTTTTATTTAATTTCATTAGAAGTTGTGCAGGTTGTGGCAACCCCAAAAAATTCAAAATTTATCAAAAAATTGTAAAATAAAATTGAAAAATGTCGAGAAAACATTTGAAGAATATGGACCAGCAAGGTGCGCCAGCAAAATCTTGATGTGTTAAATAGTCCATATGTTAGTTCCCTATCATACGCATACAATTTTTGCGTGATTCTGTAACAAAGGACCAATTTCTCTTCAAAACAAAGGTCCTCCTCCTATCGTTTTTTTTCTGAAATTTTCGTTTGTATTTTTTCGTTACAAAAACTAAAAGTACTTTTTTCCCATGTTTTTTTATTTATTGTTTTTGTCACTCACAGAAAAGAACATGCACTACAAAAACCCAAAATGTATTTTCTTTCGATAAAATTCCAAACGAAAGGAAAAATTCATGTTACAAAAACAGGCTGTTAGTAGTAAGATGGGTTTACTAGCCGATCTTATATAGGAAATACCAAGAAATATTGTTTTTTTTTATAGATCGACTTCGTTGCAATAACACAAGTTTTGTTATTGTACATGTAAATGTCCATATGTGTATGTAATATGTATATAATTTCATCATCATAAGATACAATTTTGGTGTGTTTCTTTCACAAATAGACAACTCCTGTCCAAAACACACAAACAGACCAAAATATGTTTTTATTCTTTAAATTTACGAATTTAAAATTGCATTATTTTCACAGCGGTCAAGTCACATTCATATTTACTCGGTATCTTGTATTGGCAAATTGGATATTTAATTATAATTCATTATATTCTGATAAGAAAAGTCGTTATTTTGTTGTTCATAGTGCAGCAGACTATGTATAGACCACGGTATGATCGGTATACCAAGTGGTGCTTATCTGGACTCTACTTAAAGCCCTAAATTGATGTGTGTACGCATTGCTATAAGCATGAATGTTTTCATTTTTTTTTGCAATTGTAAGTAGTTTTTGTTGGCTAGCATTACATTTTATAATTTATGAATTGTTCACTTCAAATTTGGAAATGTTGAAATTGAGTCGCCTTAGAATCCTTGCATTCGATATGTTTGTTCTCTGTGATCGATTGGAAACGAACACTGGACATCGTCGATAGTGTGATCATGTCGCTCAATAATAATTATGAAATCTCAAACAAATGGATAAATATAATTGCATGACATCAAAAGAAAATTAGATGCACCTATTGTAAATAATAATACCGAAGAAACAGTAAATCGACCACATTGAAATATTAAATCTATAATATAATCTATAAAACCCATTGTAATTGTAATATTTAAAGAAAAATATCAGAAGAGACTACCGTACGTGCATTCCTAACATGTGTCGTATACTCGTCTAGATGAATGTTAGCATTACTGCAGCGTTTCATGTCATAGAAGGAGCAATATCTTATGTTCGCTACGAATATTTAAACACTTACCACACCTATGTGTGGCCTACGTAAAAATATGAAAACATTGCAGGCCGCAGTTACTAACACGAAACAAGCAATAGTTTATTTGGCGTGGTGAACAGCAGCGGCAGCAGAAACAATAACAACATCATAGTGAAGTAGGAAGGCTTTTCAGCACTGCTCTTGTATCTGTGAAAATCAACAGCAGAAAAGAACGTAGGAAACTATACAAAGTTCGAGTTTGTCGCAGTATACACTGCTGATCACAGTACTATGGACAATGATAGTTCATTAGCAAGTAAAAAAGCTGTAAGCTGGCCCCACCATTTAGAACGAATTTGGCAATTTAAAAAAAAAAAAATAAATAAAATCCGTTAATAAAAATCCGTTAGTCTAAACGACGACGTGGACTTGCATAGGCAACTTTTGTCATAAGCCATTACAATATTCAAATGCGAAACTTGAAAAAAATCGGCGAATAATGTAGCTAAAATCATCGATATAGGGAGGTACTATACATAGGGGCTATACCAAAATGTGGACCTGCACAGACAATTTTCTGCCTCAGTCTGCAGTATCCATTACGAACTTCAAATACCGAAATTCAAACACCAAATTTGAAACAAATCCGGTGAATAAATACGTTAAAATCATCAAAATTCCGAATATCTCGGGGGTACCATTATATGGGGGCTATACGAATACGTGGACCTGCAAAGACAATTTTTTCTATAAGGCTGTACTATACATTACGAACTTCAAATACCAAATTTGAAACAATTCCGTTGAATAATGTCGTTAAAATCATCAAAATTCCGAATATCGGGAAGTACCGTTATATGGGGGGCTATACGAATACGTGACAATTTTTTGTATTAGGCGGATAGACGGACAGACGGACGGACATCGCTAAATCGACATAGAATTTTATGCTGATCAAGAATATATACTTGGTGGGGTATAAAATGTATATTTCGAGGTGTTGCAAACGGAATGACAAACTTAATATACCCTTCATACTATGGTGGAGGGTATGAAAAAGAATTAATCTTTTTACAAAAAAGGGAAACGGCCGCCGAATGAAACTTATGCAACATATCTTGAGCAAATCTATTTAGATTATGGTACATTTACATTATATTCGATATTCTGTCCAAATATACTCACCATGTCCTGTCCACTATGCTAACATGGTCTGTAAGATCGTATAATCCAAATAGGCAAGAACCAGACATTTTAGCCAGCCAATTAAAAGCAATTTAATTTTATTTAGCATTTAGCAGTTTTAAAATATTAAAATGTTTTGTTTGTATTTATGCTATGGCCTTAATATAAATAAATGTCGTAAAAAATGTGGAACGAGTCAAACGCTATATGAACGATTTGAGTAAAAGTTATTTTGTTACAAAAAAGGCTGTAAATTGCCTTGACAAAAAAATCATTCATTCACAATCTTTCAATGCCAAAGTTGGAAAATGTCAACTTTATTTCTTCATGCGCAATGCGTCGTTGGGTAACACTTATTGGAATTCATGTATTTAACTTTTGTTGCGAATAAAGTCTTACGCCCACGCAACAATTTTGGTAGAAGCCTATTGTGGTAAAATTTGTTGTCATAGGACAAAAATCAAGCCCCATTACCAGAAGAACAGCATTCGTCTTTATGCTTCAAGGCCTTAAGGTTTGAAGCAAAAAAAAAACCCTAGTGTGGTAGCCATGACTTTTTTTGAGTCCATTATACATTCGCATATCATTTAATCGAGTAGTCCCATCAAAAAATAAATTCCCAAAGTTACTTCAGAATCGTACCGGCTAAAAAAAACCTTTGTTAGGAAGTTGTACCTATGCCAACGATCACGAGTGTAGGCTCCCTCTTGTGCCATTACTTCTAACACGTTAAGAAATCGTCAACAACGACCCGCCATGTGTGCCTCCAACCAACCGACAGATCACACACAGCAGCGAATACATTAAGAAAGCTTTCAGTGTGCTGTGATGCAGCCAGCTCGGCTACGGCAGCCGGGGATGGGCGGCTATGATCAGATCGTGTTGATGGCATGGATCGGATCGTATGCCAGCAAAGCTGTTTGCCAGTTGTCTAGACACATCAGTATGCTTTAAACCGTCCGTGTATATGTACGATACTTGTCGCTAAAAACGTCGTTGGCAATCAAATCCCCATTTGTTGGTAAACAAAACCAAAGAAGAAAATCAAATAAAAAAAAAAAAAAAAAAGAAAAACAATACGTCCGAAGACGATTGATAATAATCCAGTAGGTCGCTTTTTGTAAACGTGCGGTCGGTGGATTTGTTAAAGGGGAGCGTGTGTGTGTTGAATGAACTTAAAGAATTGCCGTAAGCCAAACAAAACAAACGTTCACTGCGGTCGATATGCTATTCTGTGGGATCACGATTGATGTTTCAATCGTCGTAATTGATGGGAAGCCGAAATGCCAAGCTAAAAATTCTCATTAAAAATTTGTTAGCATTGATGATCGAAGGATATTT